TAATGAGGCTACTCATTGCCATCCCTAGAAGATAGTACCCAAGTCCCAAAATGTATCCTAGCTAGGGTTTTCATCAGCCTTATCTGAGATTTTACTTACGCCATTTAATACCGTGGATTAATATAGCTAGGAGTGAAAATTTGGTATCATTATTGAAGAATTCAATAACAAATCAGTATAAAAGAACACCAAACACGCAATGTAACATGGGTTCAGTCTTGCATTGTGCAAAACCTACCCGATCCACGGAAGAGAATTGTTTGTTTTATTTTGTGTGTTTAGACACTACAAGAAAAAAAGGCTTTTGCAACCAAAATAATGGGTCCCTAAAAGTCCAAAATTGGTTATTAATACTCTTCGCAACCAAAATATTTTGGTAGCAGAATTGGTGGCTATAGCCACGTTACAAATACCTAATGCAACCAAAATAGTGATTGGTAGCGAAAAAACAAGCTATCGCAACCAATTTTGTCAAAGGTGAAAATCCTTGATTTTTTGCAACCATTTCTGTTTAGTTGCTATAGTCCAAACTAATGGTTACGGAATGTAGGTGATTGGTCGCCATAAATACAAATAACAACCAATTGATGTAACCAATAATATCATTATGACAACCAAATTTTTTGGTTATAAAAGTATAGCGCAACTATAAAACTTGGTCGTGAAAAATATATATGCCGACCAATCATATCATTTTAATGACTAACTAATTTTGTTATAAATTTTTAACACAACCATTAGAATTGGTCGTGAAAAATACACACCTCAACCAATTAAAGCACTTTGGTGACCAATAATTTTAGTTACAAAAGTTTAATTCGACCTCAAAAATTGGTCATAAAAACTAAATATGCCGACCAATCATAATATTTAGGTAACTAATTTAATAGTTATAAAATTTTACACAACCATAATTATTGGTTGTAAAATATATGAACGGCGACCAAATAATAGTTATAAAATTCGTCATGTGACTTCCCATTTCGCACATCCCTTATGGGACTCAATTTTTCTCTTACAACAAGATGGAGACACCGCTCTGATGCTTCCACACCCACTGAAGAACGCATAATTTGTATCTTTCGATGGCAATGAACAGAAAGTCACGTGCTTCACCCTCTTGGTTGTACAAATGTAAAATATGTGCAAACTCTAATAATTTTACTCAAATACGAGTAATTGACTGTAATGAATTCAAAAACAATGTCAAACAATAAGCTTAGGTGGAAAAAGAGAGAACAACGTTTAATTTTAAGCACTGCATCGATTACATGCGAAGAAATAAGTACTGCAAAAAGAAATGAACTTGTTAAACTCAAAGTCATGAACCCATAAGAAGAAACAGGAGAACCTTATTGCAAGATTTAGGTACCTGAATATGCAGACATAAGATCTTTTTTACTTTGCCTCTATAGTGTGAAGTCTATAGCTCATAATGCCAAAATTGAGGTGCCAAAACCTGCAAGGAAGGAGTCACAAAAATTCTGAAAGTGCCTTCCATCTCAAATTAAGCCACTATAGTATTGGTCGAAGCTTTGATCTTGTTTTCGAGTAATGACAGGCAAGTAATGACAGGCAAGTAGAACAGGCTGCATAGCTCCATAAAAGATCAGGCTCGGGATAAACTGCAACAGGGGTCGAGATAACCTCACTCAATGTAACACGTTTGGCATGAGCTGCACATAGCATCCCACCTTTAAATAAGTGGACCAAGAAATCCTCTGCTTCCTAAAACACATGGCGATTCAATTAATAGACTCAGGTTCAAGTGATTGTCTGGAAAGTTCTGATCATAATTCATAAGTTGTATCGGTAAAAGTGAATGAAACCAGTCACAGTAAAGCTTGAAATGTCCCTATGCTATTTCATTAACTTGAATGGAAAAGCAATGAGAACAATGCAAGTGGTCATGGTACCTCTTGAAGAGCCACGATACCTTCAAGTTTCCAGCAGTTCACTTCCTGGCTATAATCTTGGGTGATCGCTTTTACCTAGTGATAAAAATGTAAGGACCATGCACAACAATGAAACTCAAATTCTGCAATACCAAGATGATAAAACCAACAGTAACTAATGAAAGTGCAGTCTACTCTGAAACACAAGTTATGCCAAACAGTCCTCTAAATGCCTGCTTCTAGGAGCTTTCCATGTAAATAGTCATTGGCCAAATCCTACAAATTACCATGGACTACCAGAATGAGAAGACATATCTAGTTTAAGTAACAATTGGTCAGCCGAGTCATATGTATACATGAGACCCAGAGACAAACTCAGATTGATTACCAGTCGAACCAAGTTGGCAACAGGGATAAAGAAACCAGAAATCTTCTGATAGTGACAAACTTCTCATGGAGCCACCCTTCTAGGCCTCCAGCAATGAGGGTTCCTTGGTGTTTGACCTTTCAAAACAAAAAGGAAATGCAAGATGAAAACACCCTAAGTAAAAAAAAACAGATCTGAGCTGGGGAACAGAAATCACCAAAGTTGTGAAGCTTCTTCTCGTGCTGCTGCTCTCCTCGGCGATCTGCTTGGTCCAGGAGTTTTCAATTGGGAACCAAATTAGGGTTCCTGCATGCGATTATCGAGCGCCTAACTGAAGACTGAATGTCTAGAAACTAAAATGTACTCTGCAAGTACTGGAATCGGTGAGAGAACCTGATGAGGATGATTCATGATTGTGCATTCGGAGTTGAGAGGATCTGACGCCGCGTGTTTGAGGAAGCTCAACAGCTGGGAGAGTGAGCCGGCGGAACCGGATTTCCACCATGTCCAATGGCGCCGCCGGTGTGCTCGTCGCCGCGTTCGATGAATTGGTGAGAAAATCTGTAGAGAAGCGGGCGGTGGTTCTGGAGGAGCTACTGAGGTCGATGAGCGAGATGTTTAGGTGAGCAGCTGCAACAACGGAGGAGAAGTCGCAGCATCTTACAGTCTTCTCGTTTCGCCAAAATCGATCAGAGCTCTGTTCTAGTACTTGAAATTGAACGACAACAGAATCGTTGCCAAGCAGAACTCACTCATTGCTCTCAAGGAATTTTTCATATCATCCTGGAAACGAGAAAGAGTTGCCAAATCGATGCTAGAAATCAAGGATTTACATCAAATCCTCGTTGGATTCCTGAGATCCCAAATCTCCACCGCCATAACCAAGCTTTCTCTAATCTCCTTCGGGACAAAATTTGCTTTTGCCTCTCTATTTGGTAGCCGGATCTCAAAGAATTCAAAGTAGTATAGAGGGAATCAGGTGAATTGAGAAAAGAAGGAGAAGTTGGAGTTCGGAGATTTTGGATAGTAGGAACTAGGAAGAGTGAAAGAAAGAGATGAGAAAAGAGTAAAGTTGAGTGTTATTTCTTCTTTTTTTTCCAATAAAACCCGTCAACACTTTTATTAAATATCAATACAAGTATACAACTGCAACCAAATAATTTAGTAGCTGAAATGTGTTTATTGGGTATGCAAACCAAATTATTTAGTTATTTAATATTCATGTTTAAATTCATAACCAATAATATTTAGTTGGGGAAAGTAAAAAACCAATATGCTACCAAATTATTTGGTTGGAAAAGGTAAAAATTATTTTGCTACCAAAATTATTTGGTTTTAAAAAGTAAAATTATTTTGCTACCAAATTATTTGGTCTCTTCAAGTTTTATTTGGTTATTAATACTTTGACTTTAATAGACAACCAAATTTCTAATATTTTAGCTACCAAAATATAATTGGTTGTATATACTACCCTTTGCACAACCAAATTTAATTTGGTTGTAAACTTTTTGTTTGCAAAAGCTAGTTTTTGTTGTAGTGAGAGCTGCGGCATGCTATAGGGCTAACAGCCTAACACACTCAAGTAACGTCTAGCCACAAAGTGGGCTTATTAAGGAAAAATTACAAAGTAATCATCAATTAAATAAATATGTACAAATAAGTCATTGTAACAATTATATGAGATATACCAAATACCGTACGTAATTTACCACTATTTGATATTATCAAATATTATTTGATATACGAGGTTGATGTTGTAATGTTATTTGATATACGAGGTTACGATATCAGAATCGATATGTACTAAAATAGTAAAACAATATCGATAATTTGAAATTAATTAAATATATCCCACAATATTTGGTCATCCTTAGTCTTTTCTATGATAACTAGCAAGCCCCTATCCAACCCAATTGTGACTTTTCTATTTTTCTAGGTCACTCTCATCTCTCATTTATTCTATTATTATTATTTCAGAATACCAAAAAACTAAGCACACTCAAATGGGTCATCTCTCATCCTCCAATCCATTGAATCAAATATCACAAATTACAAGAAATAGTGGTATCACAATCTCCACCCTTCTTCTTGTCCATGTCTTAGCTGTAGGAAAACTCAGGACTTTTTGTTTAGTTTGTCAGCCCCAAATGGGGACATGTGTTGAATCCAATCAATTAATTCATTGACTAAATCCACTAAGTGAGGACTTTAATTAGTTTTTCTGTTAGACTTTTCTCACCTCAATTTTTCATCACCAAGATTTTGACCAAAAAGTTAAACATACAAACCTACCCCATATAAAAATGCTCGAGATTAGGTGTGTTCGTATCATTGTTTGTTAATTTGAAGGTAATTTGGCATTTGCGAATCCCACTACCGTATTGAAATATTTTAGTATTGGAATTGATATATTGAACTTAATTCGAAATTGAGTTTGATTTTAGAGGATAATTCGATAATTGAAATTTCGATATCCGGTAGTGGGGGTATCAATATATAGTTTATCCCACACTAGCATCTAAAACGATTCAGTGACATATATAGTTTTCCAACAGAGTCCAACGTCGATACCTTATAGGAGATGGAGCTGGAAATCAAAGGACGGAAGATTACTGACGCGACCGATCGAGCAGCTAGATAGAAAGGTCAAACTCAATCGTGAAATAACTAAATTAACTGAAACAAACAAAACACTGAATCGATCGAAAAGGCATGCATGCAGGCTCTGAAACTGAGAACTAGGCGGAAAAGGGAAAGGTGATGAAGGGAAGCACAACCCTGAGACGAAGAGAGGACAAGGAAGCAAGGTAGAAACGAGCGTCGCTGCGAAAAGCCGAGTTAGGGGAATAAGGGATGGGAACAGTCTCTGTCTGCCCAGTGTACGGATTGTGGATCTGCGCGGAAGCGAAGCTTCCTTCGTAGTAAGCCAGCAGCGTAGTCCCGCCGTAAGGGTGGGTGGTCCGGATGTACCACCACTTCTCCCTATCGAACTTCCCGTCTTTGGTCTCCACATCCACGCCCGACGTCGGCGCAGTCTTCCCCAAGCCCTGGTCAACGACAGTTAGCTCTTCCACCGCCTTCTCGTCAAGGGAAGGGCCGCTCGACCAGAAAGACGTTCTAGTAGCGATGGCCGTGGCTGTTGTTGTCAGTGAACCAACTCTGAAAATCCCTGGCGGAAACTCCTTGCGCCTTCGTTGAATTACTTGGTCGGCCTCCCAGGGATCGGAGACCAACTTCTCCGAGTCGTCGGGATCGATCGCCCCCCAGTAGCTATTGTCTTCGAACTCCGCCAGCTCCTCCTTGGCCCGCTCGAGCTCCCTCCGCGCCTGTGGCTGCTCCTTGAACTGCAACAGGTACACTTGGCTCCTCTTCCGGCTCGCCAGCTCCTCGTAGTCCACCACGGGAGGACCGTTCGGGTCGTCGGCGTGCATGTCGCAAGGGTTCCACGTGGTCGTGATCCCGTCCTCCGGCGTGTCCACCCCGTACAGCGACCACCCGAACAGGTCCTGCAGTCTCAAGAACTGGACCCCGAATCCCGGGTCCACCACGTAGCAGAAGCCTTCCCGGTTGACGCGCAGCCGCGAGCTGGCCAGATCCTCCGCCAGGTTGCGCAGGGCCTGCCCCTTGATCTCTCTGCCGAACAGCTTCAGCGAGCTAGGGATGGGGAGATGCTGGCTGTCGGCGGCAACAACCGTCGCGACCTTTGTCCAGTCCCTGTTTTTGACGTTGGACGCGTTTGTCGTTATCGCCGGCCTCCTCAACTCGAATATCTCCACCTTGTCTTTAGCCGATGCCGCCACGAACTGCTTTGTGGTTCTCAGTACGAACGGAGCCATACCGCTAAACTAATCTTGATGATTTGGTTCTTTCTTTTTTGGGTTCCCCCGAAATGGTAGCTAGCTAGCTAGCCAGATAAGGTCACCGACCTCTTTTTTCAACCCGTGTTTGTAACTTAACTTCTGCATATGCATCTGGTTCCTTCCATATTTAATAAGCAACAACCTCACCGCTTCTAACAACCAAAAGGACGTGGCAAATACACCCACCAAAATACAAAATAGAATAAACTCAGTCAGGGGTATTCAAGACAATAAACACACCGTTTCTATTCTTCTCGCTCCCACTTGTTAGTGTTGTGGTATATGATCCACGATTGAACCTCTCCCAACAACTCGAGTTATTGGGACCAACTGGTTCTTGACATGGTATCAGAGCTGGTTGTCCGTGAGGTCACGTGTTCAAGTCCTCACGACCCCCAATATTAACCGTTGTCTTTCAAGCACATGGTATGGCGGGCCTGTGCAAACTTCAAGCCCATGAGTCGGCTTTCGTTTGAGGGGGCGTGTAAGGAAGTGGTTGAGCACCATACACGGGCCTGTATAAGATCCAGCATAACCTTCTCCCAACAACTCGAGTTATTGGGATCAACTGGTTCTTGACATGGTATCAGAGCCTTCTGTGACCGAGATGTCTTGTGTTCGATTCCCGGTGACCCCCATTTGTTAAGCACATGGTATTCTTGTCTTCAGACCTGTGCAAACTTCAAGCCCTTGTGAGAGGTTTTCGTTTGAGGGGGCGTGTTAGTGTTGTGGTATATGATCCACGATTGAACCTCTCCCAACAACTCGAGTTATTGGGACCAACTGGTTCTTGACACCACTCTCCAACCAAATATATGTTTACTAAATACTCCATTTTAAATGATCGAATACACCATTTTTGTTTTCATACTATACTATGTATTGTCAAACGACTTCTTTTCAGTTCATTTGATTTGATGATTCTTGTATTTAACACATTATATAACACGTTAAGTATCTGTATTCAATTAAATAAATTGATAATCTGAATATTATTTACACATTTATTTTTTAAATAATGAATTTCATATTTATATGAATATTTACGTTCGAAGTATTACGGACAAAGAAAAATATATATATATATATATATATATATATATATATATATATTGTATGTATTTTATATGTAAGTGACTTCCTCATTTTACTAACTAGCTTTGCTTCCAACTTCCGTCCACCGACTTTGTGTATGAAATAATTTATCAATTTCTATATAATAAGCATATCCTCCCCTTAGACCAATAAGTTGTTAATCGGTCAAGTCATTGTAGCCAGTCTTTGTTATTTTGGACGAAATATGAAGTTTATATCATTGTGTTGGTCCCCGCCACGTTGTGATTGTCCACTGGGTTGGTCGCTAAGTCTATTTCTTGTGATTGTCAACGCGGCCAGTAAATAGGCGCAAACATTAATTGGGATCACTTCCTTTTAGTGACCAGTACTTCCTCTCGTTGCAAAGCCCCTATGGAGCAAGAGAATAAAAAGATATCAAGCAAAACGGGGTCGATCGAGCAGCATAGAAATTTAACCAAAAGATCGATAAAGAACCATATATAGTACCACCAAGACTTAAATTCGATTGAAGTAGAATCGATGCGGCTCAACCATAAGTGAAGCCAAATCCAATCTGAAGCAATCTGAGGATGGAAGAGGACCAATCGACATGAGAAATATAACATGGAAAAAAAAAATAACATTATGTCGATGAAAATTAATTAAAACACAAACCACGAAAACATCATAGCTGTGTGGATCGATCGGATAGTAAATATTACAGACGTCAACCTCCCTTGTTCAAGAAAGAAGACATACAGGAGGACAGACAAGGTAACTACTAACTAGTACAGAAACATGAACCTCTCCCCAACTCCCAAGATGAATCCAACGAAGCACTGTGGGTAGGAAAAAAAATTGACCTCATCCTCAGGGTATGGGATCTGAAAGTTACTTTTCTTCTCATCACTGTCGTGATAATAATGATTTTTCAAACCGTGCCCACCAGCATCACCACCACTATCCAGCTCCCTTTCCCTTTGGTAGTAAGCAATCATCACTTCCGTGTTGTTCTCCCATCCTTTTATGAACCACCAGCTGTCCCGATCCAACTCCGAGTCAGACGAGTATTCCATACCTTGACTCGGGTGAAGCCCCGCGACGTCTTGGTCGTACGGCAGGAAGGTCCTCTGGGACTTCCACTTCCCTTCCATGGCATCCGCCACACCCTGAGGGCGCGAATAGCTAATATCGCTATCCCTCCTGCCGCCAGAGTGCGACGACGTCTTGCGCAGCTTTGTTCGCGGGAGCCGGCGGCGATTCTTGGCCGCTGCCTTTCCTGGATCCGCCACTCTAGGCTGCGCCGCTGGCTGTCTGGGCCGCAGGGGCCGCTGCTGCAGCGGATGCGGAGCTGCAGTTCCGGGTCTAAGTGGGCCCCCTCTGCTCCCCACAGGACGTTCAGCCTTGGGCGGCTCTTCATCGTCAGCAGTAGTGGTAATAATGCTCCCGTCTTTCTTCCGGGTCAACGACAGAGTTGACTTGCCCCCGCCACTCGGAGGTCCCGACTGCTCTACCACTATCACTTCCTTGTCCTCCATGGGCGGCTGGTCGTCTGTGTTCCCGCCGGCGACCTCCACCCCGTACCGCCACCACCCGAACAGGTCTTGGACCCGGAAGTAGTCCACTCCGAATCCGCCTCCCGTGACGTCAACGTAGCAGAGGCCTTCCCGGTTGACGAGCAGCCGCGACTTGGCTAGATCTCCCGCGAGGCGACGCAGGGCTTGCGCCTTGAAATCTCTGCCGACCACCTTGAGCGAGTTGTGGGTAACTGGATTGGGGCTATCCGCGGCGATAACCGTCCCGACCTTTGCCCAGTCGCTGCGCTTAACGCCGGACGACTTTGTGGCGGTCGCCGGGCGGCTCCTCAACTCGTATACCTCCACCTTGCTTTGATCGGGTGCACCCACGAACTGGTTTCCGTTTTTCAGTTCGAACGGGGCCATGTGAAATTCTCTGGGATTTAGTTTTTTTTTTTTTTTTTTGTCTCCGAAATGATTACAGGAGGCCAGCCGATGATCCCTCTTTTCCTGGTTTACCTTTGTATAAATATTAATTAGCAAGGTTCCATTCTATAAGTACTGAATCAACTTTTTTTTATAGGTAACTTCAACGAATCTAACAACCATGACAAAGAAATAATAGAATAGTTCCAGGCATCGTGACTTAGCATGTTATATATGTAACACCTTAGACGAATTTCACATCGACAAAGCACGGGAGAGATTCATGGTTCCTAAGTAAGAAACTGACTTTAATTGAAAAGACGCGTTTTGGGCTTAAATGGAGGAGTTCTTGTGAGAACTCCGAAGTTAAACATGCTCAGTGTGGAGTACAACAAGGATGGGTGACCTTATGGGAAGTCACCTTGAATTGTACCCAAGTCAAAAACCGTAAGGGTCTGTAATACCCATACATAATTTAAAACATTCACATGATCGTACCGATTAAAAACCTTTTTTCAATTCTGTTTAGCTTACAAACCAAACCACAATTTACATAAACATTTAAAACTTCTAAACACATGACAGTAGAGAAGACCATCTTCTCTCAAAATGCTATAAACAAGTCATGTCGGAGTCTGAGTCCACCATCCCACCTCATTGATGCCAAGCTGAGCCTTGTTGAGTTTCTTTGACTTCTAGTCCGAACTTCTAATCTGGGGAAAAATTTTGACGGGGGTGAGACGTCACCTCAATGAGTAAAAGCTAACCTATCAACAGTATCAATACAAATATAATATCTCGTGAAGTCGAACCCCGTGCTTAATCTCTTAGTTTTACGAGATAACCAATTTCAGTATTCACTTTGCTAAGGCATTTCAGACATGTAACAATGCACAATTCAGTAATCAATCCCACACACACACGAGTACACACACACATGGTTAGCCAGATTACGTATCTTTTTGCCTTTAAATTGCCAAGTCATGCACTCTCCCGGGTATATCCAGTAGATGCATAAAGCACCGCCAATAGATGCATAAAGCACCTCCAATAGATGCATAAAGCACCTCCAATAGTTTTGCTCTTTCTTCACATTCTGCGTGTTCTTTTTGGCGATGTCTATTCTTGGATTGCTCACCTGCGGCATGGTGGTTATATGCTAGGTTTCTGATCCTTCAGTGAGTGTATTCAAAAGGATATGGTTTGCCCAGAGATGCTGAGGATTACCTTGCATCACTTGGGCTTAGAAATGCTGCTTACTCTGTCAGTGCCACCGATGTTCAGACTGATCTCTTTGGGAAACTTGAGCCTTGCCGCATCCAGGTAGCTTACATTTTAGGAAAAAAGGCTCTCTCTTGGGTGTATGGAATCTCAGTCAATGTGGATACTAGAACTTCAACATTTTCTTTGCGAAGTGCTTTACTGTTTTACCAGTTCTGGTCATTTGTAATTGTTGTTGTTTTAATGCCGTCTTTTCTTGAATTTTTATTTATCTGATCAAGATTTTGATAGTAGTTTTGCTGTGGTAGGGAGTGTTAGTTTGTTTCTTTGTAGTGTATCTTTGAAGTGTCATCTATAGGTAAACATTGGTTGTTGTTTCTGTCAGCCGCCAGCTTCAAACAAGGGGTCTTCTTCAGAGCGCTATCAGGAAACACCCACTGTACATGTATGTCCTTAGCAAGTATAGACATAACATTTCTGGTATTGAGCATATCTCTACTTATGAACTAGAAACTTGACATCTTAATCCGTGGAAGTATGCAGATTAGTGGTTTGTACCGATCATTTTGTCAATCAAGATTTACGTGTTAGTCACTTTAACATCGTGATTAACTCGCTGTTCAAACGTTTGGTTTCTCTTTAACTTTTGTGGAACAGAGGTGTGGAGTGGCTATAGTCATGGAAACCTCCCCAAACATGTATCCGAAATTACAGAATGATGGAAGCAGCAACCCAGTTCCAACCAGCTCAGTGAGTTTCTCAGTTTCGTTGTTGCTCTAGCATGCAATGCTGGACTACGACCTTCAGGATTCTGTTTCCTAAATTTCATTGCGTGTAGGCATGCCTGAACAGTTTCATTGTGGTGATTGTTCTGAATTGTCTCCGTGGTTCTAGGTCAACCTCTTTAGATGAAACTAATCTTTATCACGTGTCCATAAGATCTCCCTAAACATAAATGTTTGAGAAAGGTGATAGATCTATGCATCATAGAGGACTCAGATCCCAAACCTAATTCAACATTGTCATGAACAGTTGTCCTTGCAAATACATCAGTATACTACATTGTTCTAAAGCTCTTTTCTTTTAAATAACCGTGTTGAGTATCTTTCCGATGTCTCAGTTTCTCCATACAATTATTTGAGTCATATTAATCTGATGTGTTACTGATTTGATTTGTGAGCTTTACTAGCATATATGTTTCTAACGGCAATGTGAATTATTATGTTTAACCCCAGTCGCCAGCAATCATTTATTTTGATGGTGCATCAAAAGGGAATCCTGGACCAGCTGGTGCAGGAGCTGTTTTGTGTTCCCCTGATGGAAGAATGGTAAAGCAAGTTCTCCTTGACCTGACCAAAAGTTATCTTACGGTTTCCTATATTTTTCTTGAATTAAATTGTGCAGATTTTCATCTGGGTGTTTTTTGGTGCAGGTATGGCGTTTCTCTGAAGGTGTGGGGATTGCAACGAACAATGTTGCTGAATATCGAGGTGTGAGTCTGGGAATGAAGCAAGCACTCAAAAAAGGGTTTAGAGACATTAGTGTACAGGGGGATTCTAATCTTGTCTGTATGCAGGTTTGTTATATCATTCATCTGCATGAAGTTATAGTCATTTTCAACTGCACTGCAAGCCATGCTCGTAGTCCTTACTGTCTGATTGTGTGGACAGATTCAGGGCATATGGAAGTTAAAAAACCAGAACATAATTGCTTTGGGAAACGAGGCGAAGGCGCTCAAGGACAAGTTCCGTACTTTTGAGATCAGACATATTCTGAGGGTAAGTATATATGCTGATTTAGAATCGTTTGTTTACTCTTAATGTGGTCTGAATTTGAGGATGATGAGAAACCAATTGGTTATACCAGGAATTCAATTCTGAAGCTGATGCACTGGCAAACCAGGCTGTTCAGCTCAGGGGTTAGTCATATCCCACCCTTGAACTTGCACCTCCATTGTTACCTATCATTATTATTTTCCGTCTTTAGCGGTTTATGGTATTCCTCTTAATCTCTGGTGCTTGGTATTTGGGTCTGACAAATTCTGGTAGTGATCATTTATGCAGATGGGCAAGTGCACGAGGCTTTGATCACCAAGTAGTTTGACACCATCTGAGGTCAGGTTGGAGTAAAGCGTCAAAATTTCAGCTTCAGGCCAGGAAGGGGTAGGGATAGAAATGACTTCAGTGCAGCAACTTGTTTATATGTTTTTGCTTAGCTTTTGGGCTTGTTGAAGCTAGATATCACATTGCAGCTTCCAATGTTGATAATTTAACCTGTTAGTAACTGAAATGGACGGCTCTGATGTAAGCTCCTTTATGATACCTTCATTCTCAACCTACCTTTTCGTTTCGGGCATTGCTATTCGTCGCCCTAAAATTTATTATTCATCGCCCTAATTAAGTTAAATTTACACTAATACTCTTAATTACATAAATCGTATTCTCTACTGCTTCTTCCTATTAGCACTGCCGGGCACTTCCCCTCGCCGGCTTTAGATCTCCCACCGTCACCGGCCATTATCCTGCTCAGCCGGCGCCTCTCTCCATTTGGTGGAGTTCCCTATTATTTATTTGGTTATCTGCTTGATTGATTGGTTCAAATCATTTTGCCGAAGCTTTTTGAGGACATTACCTCTGCTTCTTGATTATTGATGGCTTTGTTTTGATTGGCTTGGCTCTCCTGGCAACGTTAGAGTGATGACAAATTGATGGGTGCAGGTTAAGCAGCTCGAATACCCTGTCTATTCTCCATGGTTTGCCATGTCCGGTGAGGCCTTCCCGGAGCTGCCGTGACCTCCTCCAGTCTCTGAAGTCTCTGTATTTCTTCATACGGCGACCAGTTCACGTCGTGTTTGCTTTTGCCTTAGCTTGTCAATTGGCAGCTGGCATGGAGTTGTCGCTCTCGACCAGAGCGGTGGGATGGATAATTTTTACATGAGAGCTCAAAGCGGCCGGAGAAAAGAATCCGGCACCGGCGGTTAGAAGATGAAGGAGCTCGGCGACGTCTGGGCACTGTAAGATATTTTTTGTTTAAGGTTTACGTTGAATTTGGGATTAGGGATAAGAGTGTAAATTTAATGCATTTTAGGGCGATAAAATTTGAATTTTAGGGCGACGAATAGCGATTCAGTTCGTTTCGGCTGTATTATAGGAATGGTCACTGAACTTTGGGGTCACTAATGAATAAGTCGATTAACTATGTTCTAACAAAGTTTTCGTATGTTTGAAAGAACTAACATAACAACTATGCATTGTCTTTATATTTTCGGGTTTTTGATCGAATTATCCTTCATTAAATCAAATAAATTGTAAAAAAACTACGGCATAGATCTTAATAAATTGTAGAAATCATAATGCCTTCATCCTTTAGCTTTACAGGGTCTTCGATTACTTATTTATTACTGATTTGGTGTATCAATACACTAGTGTTGACACAATTAATCGAAGACCCTGACAAAAAGATTTTTACTCTTTTTTGTTCCTAGTTTACTTGTTAGTTGTTAGTGACAATTTCATTAAGAAGCAAAATTCGGTGGGTGTTTTGTTAGTGATACGAAGTTAAGTGACTATGTAGTAATTGTCCCCTTTGTTTTCTTGAAAGCATCCAGTTTTGTGGATGAATTGGATAAAGTAGAGTGCGAAGTGTCGAAAGGCCAAAAGCTCTGTGGGAATTGAATTCAATCACTCGACAATGGCGACGTTCGCAGCTTCATCCTCGACTCTGCCCTCCATATCTACTCCCAGTTCTCACTGGATTCCGCCTTCCAAGTCTTTACCCCTTCCAACTACCGTCCACTTCAGAAGCCATCAACTCTGCATTTCTTTCAACGCCGTCGTGCTGAAGAGTCGGAATTCCCGCTGCTCCTTAAGACTGAGGTCAGCCGAGCAGGATACCTTAATCCCAGAACAAGAAGAGCCAGTCGCAACCCAGGAAGACGCTGCTGCTGAACAGCAGACCGTGTCCGTCCCCGTCTCTCCTTCCGACACTCTTACCATGTACTTTGATGTAAGAAAGTTCGACGCTTTCTCTTTTTAGCTTGTGAAGCTTTCACTAGGCTTTGCGAGCAGTTCTTCTGTGTCTCTTGTCTGTATTCTCGTCTTCGTAGGAAGTACATTGCTAATTGCTTTTTGATTCAATATGGAGTGCATTCTCGATGTTAGATGTTTTTGGGTAACTGTAGGCGGAGGGAACTATGAGCGACGCAGCTATTCCCGCAGTGACCAGGGCTTTAGAGGTAACTAACTGCACAACTTCGTCATTATCTCTATACATTTATCAGTTCATTCTAGATTGAAGATAATGTTCTAGTAGTTAAAATTCAATTCTTAATTGAAGATAATCCAGGCGTCTAAGCTAAATCCTTCCATGTATTCTCTTTTTTTTTTTTTGGTATACTTCTGCTGACATGATGGAACCAATTGTCAGCAAGTTAGTGTCTTTCTTAATCTGTAGAAGGATTAGTGAAGAATGGGATGAGAATTTGGTTGAACTAGAGGTTTGAGTTCGTCTTTTCTCCTTGCATATGCTGTATACAAATTGAAGGAAGGGACAATTTTAGTTCCTCTCGAGTCGGGAGTATAGCAAGTGTTTGATAACATGAGCTTCTCTCTTTGTTGATTGTTTACTTTAGTCCCATATATTTGATTTCTTGGTCATTGAATCTTGATCACTCTCTTTATTATGCAGGGGACTGAAGGCGTTGGAGGATTAAAGGTTCAAGTTCTCGAGGGTATTGCTAGTGTCCAGGTCTGAATCTCTTCCTTTTGCTGCATAACTTACTCCACATCGATTGCTAGAAGTATTTTGAGGGAGAAATGTTACAGATGGTTCCCTTTATGAATTGCAAGGACAAATGTAGGTTTTATCCATTCATTGTCAATGACTAATCTGTTTTTGAATGATGACACTTTGATTTTCCTTATTCAATTCAGTTAACAAAGCAAACCACAGTGCAAGCAACAGGAGTGGCGTCTAGTCTTGTGGAGCTCATACAAGGTTCAGGTTTCAAGTTGCAGACTTTGAATTTGAGTTTCGAGGACGAGGAGGATCTCGTAGCTTAGATCAAGCAAATTTTTGTAAGCCAAACAGGAGAGTAAAAGTACTTCAAAGCATGTATCTCGTCAAGCTTGAAGAAATTGTTTATCTATATCATTGTATCTGATAGGTTTGCCAATGAATTATCTCGAGATGAATGGAGGATAATGCCATAATTCTAATCCGTTCTTGAAAAGATTGAACCTAGACTTGTTGGTTGCCAGCCTATCGTCGATGATGGTGCACTTGACATCCTGACCAGTTGGGGACGCTATAGCATGTTTAGAACAGCGGCAGGTTGAACTTGTATTATTATTATTGTAACTAGCAAAGACCCGCTCGCTACGCTTCGCGATGATGAAAAGCTACAATTTTGTTTATAGAATTGATTTAAAAATAGGAAATTACATCAGTAGTTTAGAGCCATAGGGTTCATTACATACTTTTCCTTGCTCACAAATATGTCAATCATTAATATAGATTTACTCTACGTAGTCTTGGAATCAAGTTTGAACTAAAAATAAGGCAAGAAATTGAAAAGCGTTCATTCTTCCAAGTTTCAATACACAATCCCATTTCTAAGTGTTGACATAAGGATTTGTTCCTCATCCTATGCTTTTCCCCCACCTTGGTCTTGCTGCATGGCTCCTATTATCGATCATGTAGGCAGCAGTGAGACATTCAAGGCAACTAATACATAAGTGAGAAGACATTTATAAGCAAGCACATTTTATCAAATCCACCCCTAGTAGACTCTGTTCCAGAATTTCCTGCAAACTTCATATTGGACAATCGCGTTTACAACATTGAACAAAGTGGTTAATTTGAGAAGGAAAATATTAGCGGCTAACCACTTATGATAAACTTTCCATGGAAATTCCTGGAATCCCATATATATAAGAATTTCCAGTTGAACAGGAAGAAGCATTGTTAAGAAAACATATCTGAACTATTGTATTGAGCAAACAATCCACATACGTAGCAATCCATCCCAAAAAGGAAAGACAAAAGTACTTTGGAAGGAATAAAGTGGCCAGAGTAAATTAGATGACTATGTAAGCTACATTTGATCAAAAGAACAGCCACGTAACTACTGGTTTGAGACAAATTGTTCGAGGTCTTAGGAACCATTTAACGACTTATTATCATTTGACTTCCCTCGTGGCCTTCACTACTTCTGTTGACTGCTCCAATCATGGCATTGCTTGAGCTCAATTGATATGCACAGAAGAAGGAGCAACATATATCAGATCATTAGCACTAACCACAAGGCTATACCAATGATAAACGGTTACAAAATAGCAGTACAAAAGGGTGATGAACCCACAGGAAACACAATGAAACTATAATAATGGAATATCCAAAGAACATCACCTATCCTAGAATAGAAGTGGCAAAAGGCTGCGTTCTTCATTTGACCTGAAAATATGAGAACAATATTGGATGAGTCTGTCCCAGTCGTTTAACAAACAATCAGTTCCACAGTGCTTATTACATACCAAAAATAGACAGAAAAGAGAGAACCATATCAATCGACAAAGAGTGATAAGTTGTACCCAAAATATCATAACTGAGGACTTAAACATGGAAATAGGAAGCAAAAGCATATGAACATCTTTGGTTAAACAGGTCATAACCCACGGTGAGATTCATGCATGCAGGTATTTCCCCCCTCCATTCTACCATTCAGCCTTGCTTTGCTCTTGCAATCTTGGTCCTCCCCATCTCTTCCTAATCGATCATCTCCATTCGAGGGCATCAAATCTCATGGAAAGTGCATAGCTAAAAGCGATGCATCCAAAACAGGTTATAAACTATGGAATTTTAACGCACCTTGTTAGAAGTAACCAAAAAAATCAATGATTTGAATGGGGGAGGAATACTACTGAGTTTCTTCACACGCGGGGTAGCAATAGTTGTTGATGCAGTCACCTTGCCTTTAGCTACAGTTGTTTTGCTCTTCTTTACTGAACTCCATGAGAAGTAGAGAATCCATGAAGCCACCAACTTCATCATAACAAAACAACATTAGATCAGAGTCATCACATGAGGTAACTTCCTATGGTTAAGGGGATTAACCACATGGCTGGAGAATTACAAACAACTATCACATGAGAGATAACTTCCTACGAAGCTCACCTACTATAGGTGAGAGGAATCAGGGTATCTTGTCATGAACTTGACTCCAACAATCAGAAGAAATAAACATGTTAACCAAAGGCCTGCACAGACGACAAATCAAGAAGGTAATTAAGTGGCATCAATTAGACTAAAACACCTTAAAGCTAAGTAATCTTGGATCGAGCAAAACATGACGTTGGATTTATCCGAGACAGAGGGAAACTATTAAAAACCCTGAGATCTTACAGAGTACGGTTTTGTTTGTGAGATTTGATGCAGTCCCCTTCACTTCCTCCTGCCTTAAATCAAGAACACAATAGAAAGAAGCACCATCAGTTCACTTATTTATTCTCCAGAGTATAGTTTTCAATTTGGCTTAACAATCAAGTTCCCTATATCCTCTTTTTATATATAAGGCCCTATATCCCATTTCTTAAACCGAAGTAACAATAAAAAACACCAAAGAACAATATCAGGCAAAAAAATGTCATCCTGATTTGCGGCAAGTAATTTCCATTCACGTAGTTGGTAACCTGATGGCCATGTTATACGCAAAAGTAGTTTAGTGAACTTCATAGATACCTAAATACAGTTAAACCCATATGAGATATATGAGTCATACATAAAAACCACTACATTTTATCAATCATGAAAATACAAATAGGAGGGAATGAGCCATACCGGAGAACAGAGAAGGCAGAGGAGGGTAAAAGAATGAGACCCAAATGTAACGTCCACTGGTAAGTGGACAACAAAGAGGAGTAATTTTGTAGCAAGACAAATAGAGTAGAACAATTAGAACATGTATGAGGGATAAGTAAGCCTAAGCTACTCACTCATCATCAATAACAATTCGTAAAGGCATGAACCTTATTTTGTTGTGGTTTTTTTTTACCTTCTTCACTTGATTCCCCACTGCTGTGTTGCTTCTGCTCGCAGTCAAGGGACTGTTATTGCTGGCTTCGCTGTTTCTGGTGTTGTTTTTTCGGTCTACCATAACCTGGCAACAAACTCAATCTTCATCCAAATCGGGAATCCATGAAAATTAAATGAAAAAAACAATCACATCCAAATTGAATATTGTTGCCGCGATTTCAATTGACTAAAATCCGCAAATGGGCATTTGTTGATGGCTTACAACGAAATCTATGTATCCCATTGGAAAGGAATCGGTTTTCTTTCCTTAACCAATAAAAATCCCTTCTAACCCAAATGAACAGATGGATCCTTTCACCAGAACATAGCACACAAAAAGAAAAACATCCACACAACACAAAAGATGAACTCAATGCCACCTAGGAATCGGAGAATGCATCATACTTAAAATTGAATAGATGGATCCTTTGAGTTTTTTCCAATTTGGTGTGACCATCCACCCCCCTTACGTAAACTGAACTGGAATCTTGCTTCACACAATTGCTTTGGTGGGTTACCATTAAAAATATTACCAAGCAATGAACTGCAATAAAAGCCAAGAACTAAATTTGATTGAAACTACCATCATTCCTCCAAACAATCAACAGATGTCGTCGGAATCAATCATGTAATCATCCAGTCAAACCCAATCATCATCTATGGTCACGTTTCATGAAAGGGTGATGCTTGAACAAACGGCCAACAACGAAGACACGCACCTTGAAATTTACAGCCTCATTGCAAACCATGTTTTCAACTGAAAAAATGCAGTATTCCCGACCTTGTTGGCAAGAAGCTCTTCATCTTTGGTTCTAAAATAATCAATGGCCATCAATCAATAAACTGCGATGCCAAAGCTGATGATAGATATGATAAAAACCACAAGAATTCATTTGGTAACTGGAATCACTCACTTAAATGAAATCTTGAAAACTGAAAAGAAATGACAGCAGGTTCCATAGAGAAAGGCAAAGAGAGTGAAGAATTGAAATCAAATTCAAAGAAGAGAGCAAAACCAAAACCCCCATCCTAAGCTTCGGTTTCAAAAACCCAAAACAATACGCTTCAGATTCAACAATCACACAAACTCCCAAAGGACCTAAAAGTGAAAATACTGTGCGAAAGCGAACCCATAACTTAAATAAGAAAAATGTACCCTGCTTTTGCCGCAGCTGAGTTTCGCCGTGGTGTTTCCGTCTCTTCCCTTTTCCTAGTTAACCCACATATTCACAAAACCACGGAATCATCATTCAAGAACTGAAGGGGGGGAAAAACTGCAGATAGTGAACCAAAACAGGAAGAACCTGTTATTTGATTGTTCTAACGTTCTGGGGGTTTCTCAAAGTAGCAATTAGGTCATTCTGTTGCTTCGAGCCTGGATCCCCATCCGAGAGGATTCTCGAGATAAACTGGATCGAACAAAAAGGAGAGACGAATCAAAAACAAAAAAATAAACAACCTCGAACCATTAATAACCATTAGATTAAGCAAACAAATTTTTTTACCCTCCGTCGTGAACCTCGTCGTCCCGCGGTGGGTTCACCCCCAACTCTCATTTTCTGGAAAGGATTGAGCCATCTTTTCGATTTCCTCTCCTCTCCGATTCCAGTGCTCGCAGGTGAGAATGGGAGAGAAACAACTTGATTAGACCTTTCAGCGGAGAAAAGTTCCTGAAAAAGCCTTATGGGCAAAGAGATAGAACGAACCCATCAAGGAAAATTGAGGGGACAAATAAATAGAGAACAAAGGAATAATCACCTGAAGGCAAAGTAAAACCTAGGGATATGCCGCATCTTCGAACCCACTCTCTGCACTTCTCCGAATCCAGTCCTTAGACCACTCAAATCCACGCTGTTGAAAGAGAAGAGAAGAAATCAGGAAACTCTGGTTCACTCTACAGCAAAAGAGACCGAAATGGAAGCACATGAGATCGAATACTGGGGAGACAAAAGCACAAAAGCAGAACCATAGTCCTAGGAATAAACTACCTGATATGGAAGAACTTTGAACGTGCACGTCTCTTCTCCATCAGCAAGCTCTGGCCTAAGAATCCGCCTGCTAGCCAGACCAGGATCTACGACCCGGCCGATAACCATTGCACACCACCATCACATTCGTCTAGCTCGAACACCATAGCGACGATGAGAAACAACAGGGACAAAGAGGAAGCAAGAAGAGATGAGAGAGGAGCAGAAGACAGAGAAGAGAGTTTCTAAAGAGATGAGAGAGAATCAGTGAGAACGAAATCAGAAAAGGAAAAAACCAAAGAGAAACGAACAAAATATAGGGATCTCACCCTTCTCTACTTCCCCTCTCTTGCGGAATCCTCATATGAAAGTTGCCTCTCCTCACCTCTTCGCCCAACCACGGTTCTGAATCCCTGATAACAAACCTAAAATCCAAACACAGAGAAGGTTGTTGAAAAACACACGAAACCTTGAAGATCACAGTCGATAAAGGAGAGAGAGACTTGAGATTCACCTTTCGGCCGCCCAAGTTCACCTTCTCCGGTGACCGCTCTAAGCTACTGAATCTTCGAATCTTCTCTTCGTCGCCGGAGGGCATCGAACGATTCTCTGGTCGGCGTTTCCCTATCCCGGGCCTGAGATGTGAGAGCGAGAGAGAGAGAGAGAGAGAGAGGAAGAGATGAGGTGAGACTGAGGTTTCTGCTGGAAGCCATAGCGTAGAGAGAAGAGAGTTGGAGAAAGAGTGTGACTGTGTGAGTGAAAGAGAGAGGGAGTGAAGGAGAGAGAACATCGTTGGGTTTGTTTCTGTTTCTAGAAAGGGTAAAGCAAGCACTGGTAGGTGAAATAAGTGGACCAAAATAAAACACCAACGTGGCCTTTAGATCCACCAATAACCCACTAAAAATATCTCTGCATCTCTTTCTTTTCTTGGGCCATACTTGAGACCGGCGCGATTTCCGTGGCAGATGAAAGGAGCAAGAGAGAAGGCCGAAGCTGCTGCAGAAACGTGGCAAAGCAGGCCCACTACAGTGCATCAACCAATCACAGGCCTATCAATAGTAAATCCTGTCTGGGTAAACAGTAAAAGTAGGCTGCCTGAACAGAATATGCTGTTTGTGAATCTCAAAAGCAACCAAGAAATGATGAGGAGAACCCAAAAAGCAAACCAAGAACCGATCAAGAGAACCAAAAAGCAAACTAAGTAACAGTGTTTGGATGTGACTCTATGAAACAGTAAAGTTGTAACTTGTTCTTTTAAAGAGATAATAATATTATTGTCATCGCAATTGACATCATTTGATCATTTGTTCGTCTTAAGAGTCTCAAGACCTGTTGCAGAATGAAATTGAATGGGAATATTGATTGATCAACAGGCCCCTAATAAGCCAGTATGAAACTGGAGTAGTAGTCTATCTCTACACAATAAATAAAAGCCAAATGAGAAAACTTGAAGCCCCATTTCAAATTTTCTGCATCCAGAGTGAAAGTAGGAAGGACATTTTGGTATTCACAATTACTTTTTTTATTCATTAAAAAGACACTTACTAGGATTTGAACCATGACCACTTTAATGAAAAACAAAGATCATAACCAATCACACTAAGTACATTTGTTGTAACTATTTAAATTAAAAACATATAATCGTAGAGAGGAAAAAATCCTACCCCCCATTTCAAATTCCCTGTTCTAGGAGCGTTTGTAGGAAGGGTAGAATAGGGAGCGTCAATTTTTTTCTTTTTCCTCTGTAGAATGGGCCAACTTACCGTACACATGCGGATTTAAACGGGTCCAGGAGTGTCAATTTTTTTCTTTAAGTCCTTTTATTTCTCCGTGGTGGTAAAATATATATGAAAAGGCAAAAACAATACTCCTTTTTATTGCTAAAAAGAAAAAAATTTACAATAAACTAATGCATGGATTCTAATGGGCTAACTGCTAATCATAAAATAAAATAGTTGAATGGGCCTGACCTACGCGGGATTTGCCCATCAAGTAAAACAAATGAACATCATGGGTTTGCCATTCTAAAACAAACTATTTTCTCTAGCATAATATATATTATGCTATTATTTTATATCTTAGTGGATAAACTATAATGTATTTTAAAGTTATTCAATGGTTCAACCTCGACCAACCCAATTAGTCCAATTTTTATCATTTCAAATATATATTATGTAATTATTTGATATCATAATGATTAAATTTTAGTGTATATTATAGGGAATCGTTTGGTATTTGTTAGTAAAAAACTAAACATAAAGATCTATTTGGTTATTTTTAACATTAAAACGATCCTAAATATTTTCAGTTTTCTTTCGAAATTCTATAGTTTTATTCCCGAATCAGTGATGTGCAAATGGCGAATTGCAATCATCTCTTTTCTTTCATTATTTTTTATTTTCAAATAGAAAGTTTAAAAGTAAAGAATAATTCGAGTTTGGCATGGATCGGTCAAACATGCTGAATTTCAAGTTTTGGCCCGTTTTGATCAAATCTAATTTATAATCACATGGTTCCCAGATACCTGATAAAAATCTCAATCCAAACCAGTTTGGCAGGTGAGTTCGTGTTTACCACCATTTTCTAGGGATACATGAACGGTGGTTCCTATCCCAAATCGTGTTGTTCATTCTTGATTTCTTTAGATTTTATCATGGCTTGGCAAAAAATCAGAAAGCACAATGATGACAAGATGAAAGTTGTATAAAGCAAATTAATCGGCCAACGGGCCGAGTAAAAGCTAACAACGATTGTGGGATGCTCATTTCCCGAAAACCGGTGGGACAGATGATTTTTTATTCGCTTTTCTGGAATTCGGTTTCTATAAAACTTACTCCACCTCATCATATTACCAGAAACAATATTGTTTCAGAAGGTACTTGGTTTTGGTTCATAAGGCTGATTTTTGATTCGTTGCATCATTCATGTCTCTTTCCTACTAAAATTCACTATTTTTATCACGTGTTTCCCAAAAAAAAAAACTATACAACAATAAGCTATACCTCCATTACATTATCAAATTTCATATCTCACCTTCCTCCGGCCGGCCAAATGGGCGGGACCCACACTAGTTAGATATATTAATTGGCCAGTTTTACTTAAGGGGTTCAGTAAAATAAGGTCGGGTACACCGTGACTAATCTGCACCCGCTTTCTCCAATTACCCAACCCGTATTCTCCCTCTGGCGATTGGCTTGGCGGCTGCCCAAGTTTTATAATCTGATTCGATGGTGAATGGCTCGGTCTCCCTCCGATGATTGCCTGGCGGCTACTCAAGTCTGGATCTCCCTTCCCCTTCCAGAAATCCTACACTACCCACGTTTGAGTGCAGCATAGACCATTTTTTCTCCCCGCTTCTTCCTCTTTTTTAGACTTACATGGCGGCTGCCCAAGATCAAGATGTGCTATCTATTTCAAGCTTCTTTCTTCCCAGCCCCTTCCCAATCGAACTTCTCTGCTCGATTTCTTCTCTTCCCCCGTCAATCAACTGGCGCTTGACGAAGTTGGGTCACCGACTGCCGACTGGCGGCTGGAGAAGCCTGGGCCGTCGGTGGCGAGTAGGGAAGAGAAGGGGGATTGAAGTTGTCACCGTCTTCTTTGAAGAACAGCTGAAGCCTCCGGGTTTCCTTCTGCTATGTTACTCTACTGTCGATTCTTGAGCTCAAACAACAAATCGAGGCATGTGGATACTCGATTGATGATTTTCTCTGTTGCTTGCAGTCTCTCTTCCTCAGTTAAGCAAACACAACCCCTCAACTTGACCCAGCTCTTACACCCTCATAGTCGGTACGTCCTCCCTGATCCCAAATTACTATTTCGCCTTCTTATTTCACTAGAATTATAGCCTACATTGATCGTAAGAGCCGTTTTTTCCTGCGTCAGTTTTGTCCTTCAGACTTACGCTTGGCTTTGAATTGACGTTCTCCAGTAAGGAGATGGGTTTTACCCTGGATTCATGGACGGTTCATGAGCTTAACAGATTTAGCATAAACCCATTGTAGTGAATGTTTCATGGGAACTGTAAATATGTAATCGTATTTTAGCTTATTTAGTTTTGGATGAAACATACAGGTTATGACGAGTAAGTTATATCTTATAATCGTGACATTTGGTGCTATAGTACTATCATTTTCATGTTTAAGGTAAATAAAATGCACATTCTATATTTACATTGAATTTTGGTAGCTCAAACATGCTTTCTGGATGCAAAATGTGCTCTTTGCCACAAGAGTAGAGATGTAGTTTATAAAACTTAAACACCTGCTCACAAGGAAGAATAACAAAGTACTCATGTCGGAATGCCACGATTGATGAATCCAGTTAATCTTGGTATGACAATCCTCTTTTGGTCCTTCAATTCTTTGAAATATATAACTTAATGGATAGGACTATCGCAAGTTGGTCCAAGTTTTCGAAGATACACTATGTTACTCTTTCATTTCTTTGATACAAGTTAACGCAAAGTACTATACATAGTTGGTACTTGGTTCAGCTTCATAGAAGACACAAAATTTGTCTGCATTGGATATTTGGATTTAGATATGGGTATGACTAAAATCATGGCGCTGCTGTCATTCGCGTATGGGTGGTTTATTGTGTAGATATTTACATCTAATGTGATAATACTTGATAGGAAAATTAGATTACAGAACTCGCGGAAGAACTCTGTGTTCTCCTTCATTTAGAAGCTTTGTGTTGATTTTACCAACTCTTATCATTATTATCCTTAATTGGTCCTTGCCCAAATGTAAGGATGGAAACTTTTCTCCTGGAAGTTTCCACTGATTGTGTGAGTGAGTTTTGTTGGCGAGTTTTGCTTAAAGGATTCAGTAGTATGTTAATCAACTGTCTATTCCGCTCCCGTGAGTTGTCATCTATTGTGTTGATTGACGGTCGATCCCTCTCCCGTTCGTACTTCACTGGATTGATGCGTTTCTATGTTGCTTGCAGTCTCTCTTCCTCAGTTCGGTGACCAAATTATATTTTGGATATGGATGCTGTGGGATGGATTTGTTCAGGGAGATTCCCCCTTTGGAGGTAAGATCTCTTTATTGTTTGTTCTTCATTCCCCAGTAGTTGCTTGCATTGGTTCATGTGGGGTATTAAAAGCAATTTGTGTTTGTTCTCATTTCAATGCATCATAACCGATATTATCTCTTAGCTGGAGTATTTTATTTGATCCCTAGATTGCTTCTCATTGTGTTATAGTTAGCTTGCGCCATCTGGTAATGGTTGGTAAGGGAAGTTTGGTATTTGGATGTGGATTTCATTTTAGTTGGTTGGGAATCAATTTATTAAGCAAATTTTTCTCTTGGTTTTAGGTCTATTGAACAATATATGGAGTTCCAGTTGTATCATTTCCCTGATCTACTCATGTTATTTTGATTTAGCCCTTTGATTCTAGGTGTGTGTTAGTAACTCAGTATATATTTAAGAGTGAGTATGTTGTGGTTGCTTAATTGCAGAGCCTTCATTGCAGTTTTGAAGTGACCAAAGGCAGAAGTAGATTGCATAATCAGAATCCTTGGCTTGATCCATATAGCTTCAGCTTATGCCCTTATTTTGGGTTATATGTCGTACTTTGAAGGCTTTGAAAATATAACTCTTTCTAGGGTAATGACCTGAATCCCTTCTGAAGGTCACGAGACAAACTGTATTGTAAGTTTGAGAAGAAGAAAGGAAACAGAAGAAAAAGAAGAACCCAACATATGCGTAGCCGGTTGAATGCATAACAGAGGGCCTTTACATAATGAATTTGCTCAGAGTTCTGTAGAATCCCCTAATGCAACAAAGAAGAAAATGAATCTTGGAGGAGTTCAAGAGATAAACTTGATACCAGCCAAATTAGATATGCAGGTGAAGTTAAGGAATTATCTAGCAGGGTACAAATGTAACCACAATAAGATTGTAGTGCTTTAAACGGGAGGTTCTCGGTCCACTTTACCTTTGTTATGTCTAACTCCATTTGTATGTTTGAAAAGTCCCTCTTGATGTTTTTTTGGTTGTATGCTAGGCTGGCTTTTGGTTTTACAGGTTCAAGAATGCCAAGATTACACAACTTCGGCATAGATTGATAGCCTCATGATCATAGCTTTAATACAATTAGTAAATACTCTTCCCTCTCATAGGATTCAGTTCCGTATATATTGGAAATGTAGTTGCGGATAGTCTTAATTGGCTTTGTTCTTATCATGGTGGTTTTATGTAGCTGTTAAGATTAGGAAACGATCCTTACGTACATATTGGAAATGTTGAACTGACGCAATTTGTAATCACCATTGTCTGCTTTAATAATTGATTTTAAGCTTTTGATAAATAATCTGATGGTGGTACACCTAAGCCTTGAATTAAGTGATGGATGAAGGGATCAAGTTGAGTTGAGTTTTGTTCTCTAAGTAGGCAATTCTATCAGTGAGCAACATTCATACCTTGCATGCTACAATCTAGATTGCTTGAACTTCCATTTCCTTCGCACTCGCTCTTGCTCACGCCTTCTATACTTATATTATTGTTCTAATCTAATCAAAAGTTTATTTTAAATCATTTGAGAGTATAGCCTACCAATTACCGCGGCAAAGCGCGGGCCAATTTTCTAGTTCATTTATTACAACAGAAGGTTTTGTCTTGGCCCAGCAAGCTCACAGCAGAGGACTGTGAGGTGATAGCTTCAGCAAGTCAAACTTAATCGACCAAGTTATGTACACATCTAAGGAAAGCTCAAATCAGGCTGCCATCAACTCGACAAAACCATATTATATTATGCAATATGTAAGAAGGTAGTACTGGTGGCTTGTGTCAGTTGGAGGGCGTGACATTTGAAATTAGTAAAGTTTAATTAAAAATATTTAGAGCTCTATGGACATGTCCACAAAGCTATCTGGAGTAGTTGAAGAAACAAGTATCCTACCCGCCAACTACCCAAAATAATGTAAGTCTCGTGTTTCAGTAGCTCACACTAATAGGGCAGCCTAGAGAATTCCTAATGGCGGTGGAAGAGTCTTGGGATGATAGTATAAATAGGCTTGTGTGTTGTAAGAATGAAAGCAGAGAAGCAAATAAGAGCAAGAAATACAAGGAATACCCACTCTCCCCTAGCTCTCTTTCCCGCCTACACACTTCTCTATTTTTCCTTTGCCAATCACATTCATTCCTCCAATTAAAAAAAAAAAAAACCAAAGCCTTCCTTCAACCCAAACAAACGTGCCTACCATATAAGTAGAAGAAATAATTATTTTATTTCCAACAGCTTGATCGGATCACTATCTTTTGGACAAGCAGTTAACGGAGACTTGGTTGAGCAGCTGACGAGTTGAGTTGCTTATGAGTTGACGCACCAGAAAACCTCCTTCAGGTAGGGGCTGTCGTGGCTCCTTATATAACAAATTTTTTGCTTCCTGGTTTGTAGTGTTTGGTGGGGACAGCTGAGTACTTGGGAGGGCCAGGAAGCGGCCAAAGGCCGTGGATGGTGAAACCATCCTATTTGCTCCTCACTCCCGCATGGCATTTTTGGAAGCGGCACACAGTTGGCGGCCACTGCACCACTAGGTACATAAGCTTCACCTCGTTTGTCGGATCGTAAGCGGTGGGATGATGTCGTTGTTGGCGCTATGTTGTTCCTGTGGCTCGAGTACTGTTCGAAAAGCAGTCGCCGACGGAAGCAGGGTAGCCCGAGAAGCAGGAGAGCAGAAGAGCGTGTGTACAAAGAGTGTGTGTACTGCAGAATTCCCGCAACTCTTTCTTCACGCGGGCTTGACCTTCCTTCATTTCTGCCGTTAGTCCAACTCCCTGCAAACGTATGGACACACGCTCTTTGTACACTGTAAATTAAATAGTGGAATGAATGGATACACACTCTAGCAAAATATTGCTCCTGTTTTGGCAGACCACAAATCCTGTGCTTTGTCTACTCGTGCTTCCAAAACTGTTGGTCCTTGGTCGGGGTGGTCAGCACAGGCAATAGGCCTTCAGATCCGGCTCCAAGTTAGCTAACCCATGATACATGAGTAAAATGTTATATAATATGATATATGAATAAGATTCGGAATTATTATATAACATGAGTAAAATGTTATATAATATGAGTAAAATTCATGATTGTTATATTACATGAGCAAGACTCGGAATTATTATATAACATGAGAAAAATGTTATACAATATCAGTAAAACTCACAATTTGTTTTTGTGTAGCGGTGATAAAGATCAGTTTATCTTTGACTATATTTAGCCCGAGTTTTAGAAGTGCTTTTATACTTCAATAGCCGAAGTCGGATCAAACACTTCTTTAAGCTCGACTTTTGAAAAACTCAAAAGTGTTTTTAGGGGCTCCTCTCTCTTGGCACTCGATCTCTTCCTGTTTTTTTTTTTTTTTTGTTTTTTTTGTGGGAGATCAATATTTTGGAGTTTTTTCCTCAAGGTCTGGGAAAGGGAGAGAGGTTGGAGTTTGAATGAGCTATCCAACACTCCTATGCTCCTGTTTATATAGAGCTACAAACAGCTATACAGAACAACAGATCCCAAGGAAATAAGTTGAGTCACGTCTAATGAACTTTAGACTGTTTGTTGAGTCACAATTATTGCTCCTGAAAATTCTAACAGACACACTAATAGATGGTAGAGATTCTCATGCTTTAATTTATACGGGAACATCCTTGGTAGCTACTCCTCAATGGGCGCAGACTTAGAAACAACGACAATATGTGGGCTCTAACTGTAATTATAATAAACCACATCTTGATTTGGACAACGGAAGTAAAATGCTATAAGGTGGTCTTCAAAATGTTATAAGCTGGTCTTCAAATGTATTCCTGACCTCTTTGAAATCATTGGTCTGCTATCAGTGCATGGTGAAGTAAATGCGATCCGTGTTTTTTTGCATGTTAAACGATTTAATTTTGGAATGTCTAGAATACAATAAATGATTGTTTAATTTCTTCTTCTTGATTCGTGTCGTGTAAGATGTTGGGTGTCATCTTCTAATTGATTTCCGATTTTATTTTCCTTGAAATCGTATTTTGTGGTTTCATGCGTTATTCAAACTAATTACATAATAGATACCCTAAAGTTTTGAATTATGTAGTCAATTTTTTTGGTTGTTTTATAATCTTTAGAAAGTTCCTCATCTATTACGATTCACTCACTCATATTAATATACATGTATTGTGTCTCTTCTCAAGATAAACAAATATTGGTTAAATGTTGTGGTTATGTTTGTTCCTATTTATAAAACATTTTGTCATTTAAATTCTTCTTTTACGTAAATTTTCTTTTTAACCACAAAAAACTAATTGACTGGATTATTAACTAGATAGGTCATGATTTGCAATCCACAAGTGATAATTGTGTCATCTTAATTTCTTTAAAATTTAGCATTTCAAATAATTTTTAAAAATTAAAATTAATGTTGTGATTACTATATATTTAAATGACATTTCGGTAAACGAATCGGTAACTAAGAAAAAAACAAACATTTAGACGATAACTAGCATTAGCCCATCCCCACATAAACTAATTAAGGGCATTTATTTACCAGCGGTAAATGAACACAACCCTAACCTCCCAGGTAAACGAGAAGTACCCGATGCTAAAATTCCTATTAGCCCCCAACATTCCCCCATCACCTTGTACGGCACCGGAACCCTCTCCCGCCGGGAAGTCATCGGATTATAAAACTCCGCATAATCAAACTTGCCGTCGTAATACACCAGCATCGTCGTCTCCCCACCACCTTGCACCCTCCGATTCGCCTTAATACACCACCAATTCTCCGCGTCAAACTTCCCGTCCGCCGTCCACACCTGCACCGCCGGCGGAGGAGGAAACCCGCCGCAATCCTCGTCCAGCAGCCAAAACGCATCGATCGCCTCCTCCTTAAACGACGGCACCCGACACCGCACGGGACTATTCGGCACCACCGGCGGCGACAGGGACACGAACGTCGACCTCGCTACCTTCACCCTCCGCCGCCGGATCTTCGCCGCCGCCTCGGATGCCGAGATCGTGTCGCGGTACCGGTACCTGAAATCGGAGCACCACTTGCGGTACTTGTCCAGCTCTCTCTTTTCCGATTCCAGATCTGCGGTTTTGGATCTCAGTTCCGTCTTCAGTTCCACCAACTTCTCGTCCTTTGCCTTCAGCTGCTTCTTGTAATCTACCACAGCGTCGCCCTCGCTGAAGCCGTGGCGGGTGTGCCATAGTTTGGCCTCCGCCGGCGGGGGATTAAAAGCGCCGTATTGGGACCAGTTGAAGGTGTCGTTCAATCTGAAAAACTGGACTCCGAAGGCTGGGTGGATGAATTCCCCGCCGCCGGCGGACACGTGAATGAAGGTGTTGCCGAGCGGGTTGACGTAGAAATGAAACCGGGAGAGGTCTTCGGCCAGATTCCTCAGGTCACGGCCGGTGATCACCTCGTCGAACAGTTTTAAGGCCGTGACGTATCCATCCCCCTCCTGCTGGTGGTGGCTAGTGACCGTGACGTTGGCCACGATCTTCCAGTCGGTGGCTTTGACTGCCGACGGTGGTGAATCTTTTGACGTCGTCAGCTCGTAGACGTCGATCGTGCGGGAGTCCGATGAAGCTACAAAATGGATTGTGGAATTGAGCTCGAAAGGCGCCATGAGCATCCGGTTTGTTTCCTGCCGCGCGTACGTGTGTTTGTCGCTCTGGGTTTTATTAGGGTTTAGAATCTTCGTCGGAATCTTTGAAAAGGATTTAATTAAACAAGATTTGTAGACGAAATTATCAGGTAATTCTGGTGAAATGATCAGGAACGAGACTGCATTGGGAATGAGAGCTTGACGACAAATATCAGAGTCGTCGTTGGATATTTTCTTCTCCGAATGATCCATCGAGGCGCCAATGTCAACCATGCACGGCTAACAAATACATACAATATGCGAAAATCAAGCTTTGGCCACCGCCTTATCAATTTCTTGTTGCGGTGGGCTCCAATATTTTGGGTTTGTATTTGTTTGACAACTTAACTATAACAATCAAGAAAATTAAGAAAACAACCAACAGGGGTGTTGCAATTTCTGATCTCATTTATACAACTCGATCTAATCCTGTCTATTTGGGATGGGTATTATCCTAATGTGGGAGGGACGGGTATGAGTATTATTTTTGACATGTTTTAATGAGTTCTGATATGTACTAAAAGCCTTTTTATCTGATTTGCATCAATATCTACTTGTATTTATTCTCTTTAATTTTGACCTTTATTTATAAGGGTTGCATCAATTAATGTTTCTTACTACACGTTAGTTAAGGGACTCGAACATGAGACCCTCCAAATTAAAGACCAACGATATAATCATTTTTTATCAAGTCTTTCTTCACCTCTTTTGTCTTTTCTTAAAGCATATGTTCACTCCATGAAATTTGAATAACTGCAAGCTAGACTCCATCTTTCAACTTTTAGACTCCATTTTTTCATTTATGAAGTGTTGTTGCTTTATTGTAAAAAGAGTTAAATTATTGTGTACTTTTGTTCGATATATAAGAATATATGGACCTATCTCACCTTATACTCGCGCAAGTATTACCCAACATCACCTACCTTAGTTCGGGATGGATGTGGATATTGAAATACTTGTCATGTTCCATTGACACCAGTATAAGGGGTGCCCTAGGGTGTAAACTGTAAACACAATTTCTAGGAAACTTCGAGGTAAAGTAGTATTGATATGGGTATGAGCAGATATAATTGCCTATTATATTTGTTTATTACGATTTTATAATTGGTTTTTGAAACAAAAATGCTCAACAGACCGTGAATGTTGATAGTACCATGTCGTTAATCAATTGTTTTAGTTGGTCAATCAAAAATTTCATCGAATTAACTAGTTAATTGTGCATGTTTTATTGTCAAAGACTTTATTCAAAATCAAGAGGTCTCTCTAAAGATGAATTCGTTGTATTTAATGTTATTTGCTATCACTCAAATATTTTAGTGACAAAGTATGAAGTTTATAGTATTGGTCATTATAAAATGCGATGTTGTGACACAATGACAGCGGGTCGGGGTGGTTGCTATATCGTAATATTTTGTTTATCTGGATGAACATATAGGTCATTTGGATGAGGAATTCTAACTGATCAATTTGGCTAGTTTGTCTTATTTTGAGTTAATTTGGCCAAATTGATCCATTTGCCAGCACAAATTTTAGATGAAACAATTCTGCATGAGAAATTTCAAGACTCATTTTGAGGCAATTACAATTGTCTGGGGTGGAGTCAGACAATTCGAATTGACTTATTTTATAAATTGAGACAATTGATCAATTTGTCTCGTTTTTAATTGATGCATCCATTCAAACAACCCATAGTAGTGAGCATTTCTACTATGCTATATAGTATTGGTGCTTTAATGTACAACTTAAAGTTGTACCATAACATGAAATGTATAAGTTTAGATTGTACCATAAAAGAATTTGTATCATTATGTTATGGTACAACTTTACAACTTGAAGTTATACCATCACATAAAGGTACAAGTTCAAGTTGTACCATAAAAGAGTTTGTACAAACAGTATAGGTATAATCTAAAGTTGTACCATAACGTTAAATGTACAATTTCAAGTTGTACCATTATGGCAAAAACCTATAGCACCAATACTATATAGCATTCTAAAATTACTCCATAGTAATATGGTTATTAACCTGTTTTGTGGCACAAGGTGACACATCACGAGCAAAAACATATTGTGGATGAAATTATTCACAAGCCATTCTCACCTTTAGTGACCATAACATCAATGGCTTCAAAGTCAAAGCATGCTCTTCTTCCTTGTTGACTATTTGTGGGCCGTTAAGAAGAGGCCTATCTAGATGGAGGTTGTATTTATTTAATCTTTGTGACTATTGGGCCTTGGGCCTTGATGTTCTTTTTTTAATGCTCGAGCGTGGATGCATTTAGCACCATCAGTTTATGGTTTGGATGTCGTATTTCTAGAGATATTACTGACATGTGATATTTCAATATTTGTCACTTGAACTCATTACTATACAAATATAATATCACATGTCATAATATTTATTTATTTATTTTATGAAATAATATTTTTTATTCGAATAAAATATCATGTTTGAATGGATTATAAGTAGTTGTATTATTGATGTAGTATTTGCACTCAAATTTGCTATTTTATCAATTTGTCCTTCTTCCTTAACCACCAAAGCTTCATTTCTTCTTATGGAAGAGTGCAAAGAGTGCAATTGCGACTCGTGAGCGTCTCCTCTCTCGAATGTGTTCGACGGATCCTTTGTGCCCCATTTGTGAACATCAGGTGGAGTCGATCATGCACATGTTCTTTCACTGCCTGCACGCTAAGAGTACATGGGAGTGCTTTGGAGGGCTTTCCATCCCACCGACACCCGAGACTAATTTCGCGGAGTGGTTCTTCTCCCTTAGAGAGAATGTGTCGGATGAGGAGATCAAGAGGATTATATGCTGCTTATGGAATATTTGGATCGTTCGGAACGGGTTCGTTTTCGAGAACAGGGCTATTTCCCCGCCCTCAACGGCTGCGTTAGTTGGAAGAGATTTTCTAGGCTTGGCTGAAGCTAGAAATTGTGATCGTTCTTTCTCTCCTTCTCATTCAGCTATGGAGCCTACTCAACCTAGGGGATCCCGATCAAACCCCTCACCACCGCCTAGTGTCTTTCATAGGATTGTGCACTGTGATGGTTCCTTTGTTTCAGAATCACAGATGGCGGCTTGTGGGATTACAGTTGCTAATTCCCACGGTCAGGTGTATGACGGCAAGGTTGAGAGATTCTTTTGTTCCAATTCGATGCAGGCGGAAGCTTATGCTATTCTCATTGGAGTGACATTGGCGGCTCGGGAACAACGCTCAGCTTGTGTCAAATCTGATTGTCAGATTTTGGTGAATGCTCTTAAGCTTGTTCCGGACCAGTGGCCTTGGCAATGTCGGGCTTTACTTGCTCGTGTTTCGACCATTCTCGTCTCGGCTCCGTGGGTGAAAGTGATGTTTGTTCCTAGACGTCACAATCTGTTGGCCGACTGGGTTGCTCGTAATGCATGATTGGGTGCTCTCCCACGAGATTGGATCATTGTTGCCGATTTGTTGTCTCCTTTTTTGTAATCAACTGTACTTCCACTGTTTCGAATTTGAATGAAAGTGCCCCAATTTGTCAAAAAAAAAAAAAAGAGATATTAGTGTGTTTAAAGATTCAGTTATAAAATATTAAAATAATAGAGGCAGGCAACCAAATAATGGTTATGGGATAATTGGGGAAGGAAAGAGGAAAAAGTGGGACAAAATTAGAGACAATAAAAATGAACGAAGACATGATTGAACAACAGAGACACTAATATGTTATTTGGTGAACACCATCCCTCTTCTAGTATCTGTCAAGTGTCAAGTAACAGGTACCAAATGTTGCATAATATTTTCTCAATCAAACGTGTTATTGCTATATCCAAATGAGAAATTACCTTTTTTCATGGTTGTCAAATAAGTGTCATGTCGGCCGGTACAATCGTGTACAATTGGTATCGATTATAAACCTGGCTAGAATGCTCTCGATATTGACATACATGATCGATTTTCAACCTCTAAGCAAAATGACGCCGTTTGATAAATTTAAGTGATAAAAAATAATTTTTTATTTGCTTTTAGAATTTAAAAATTAAATATTGATGTTATTTGTTGGATTCAAGTGTAAATTTTTGAAACAATATAAACGTAACCCTCTTTTCTCTCTGGAATCAATTTCAATGTCTGCTCTTTCAGCTAAACTTTGACTAAGTTGGTAATTGGGTTCCCACCGGAAAATAGAGACAAAGCGGTTCACTAATTGAGCTAGTATCAATCACCACCAGCACATGCTTCTTCGACCTTCGTATAAAGTGGATTTCTCAGGTCAGGATCTTTTCGCAGACTTCCCACATGCTTGAAGCAGAGAAATGGTTGGAAAAACTTGACCACTTCTTCAAATTACAGTTTCATTGTTGTAAACAAGGAACAGGACTAAGCAGTTCTTTATCAGAGGAAAGTTAAAACAGGGGAGCAATTAGTTAGGTTGGCAGTTTGGTGAAACAGCATTAGTAAGTTCACACACAGTGCAAAGTGAAAACGAAGGAAATTAGAGCCACAATTACAGCAGAGGATTGTGGAGGGATTAGCGTTAGCAAGTCAAACTTGATCAACTAAGTTTAAGTACGTACACACATCAATTGGACTAACCCACATGACATGCATGCCTAACATTCTCTACTATATAATACATCCTCACACAGCACAAATGTGACACACAACAAGCAGCAAATTTAACAGAGCAATGGCTTCCAAGACAGCTGCAATGATGCTCTTCTTCTTGCTGGCTTGCTTCCTATCTGCCACTTCCTCCCAGGTATATATATATAGCTACTGATACTAGCTAGGCTCTTTACTTCTTCATTAGAACAAGACAGATGCATTATCTTAACAAGATAAAAGCTAATTTAGTTTTGAGTTGTGAACTTGTGATGTAATGTAGGCTGCAGCAAGTGTTCATCACAAGTCCAAGACTCACGCTCCATCCATGGTCCTTCCAGCTCCTGCTCACGCTCCAATGGCGATGGCTCCTTCATCTCATGAACACCATCACCATGTCCTTCCTCCACACAAGTCTGTAGAACACCACCACCATCGCCATCATCACCATGCGCCAGAGGAGGCACCTGTTCATCACCACTCTCATTCAGAGAAGGCTGAACACCACCAGCATCGCCATCACCATGTCTACGCTCCAGAGATGGCACCAGCTCCACAGGAGTCTAAGCACCATCATCGTCATCATCACCACGGCCTTGCTCCGGCTCCGGCTCCTAGGGAGTTCCTTTCTTTTTTTTGGTAGAGCGAGGCTTTTAAGTGCTGTTGTGACATGATGATCAATGATATGATCTGGTGGAAGACTTTGTTGCTGTGTGGTTTAGGGAAACAATAAATTAAGAACTTAGAAGTACTGATGCCTTTGTGTCAGTTGGTCGCATATTGTCCTGTTTATTCAGGATTATAGGTATGTTTGGTCGTTTTTTTTCTTATGTTAGAGAGTTTGATTGTGATCGATCAAGTAGTGATCATGGCTCGTGTCTTAGTAAGGAACACTACTACTTATCATGGTGCTTATCAAAGTGACATGACCAGTTTCAGTAATAATCAAGACCTCTATCATGGTCACTGGCGGATCCAGGGGTGGCCAACCCGGGCCCTGGTCCAGCCCTCCTCTGGATCCGGAGTTAGTATAGTCTTTATGAATTTTTCGATTTTAGTTATTCGACCCAGTGTTATTTTACAACAAAATTGGGTGTAACTAGAAAAATGATTCAAATTAACATATTAAAATCACTACTATAAATTTAGCCTAGAAATTCTACCTCCAAAGATTATTCTTCTAAAAAAACAATGAAATCTAAAAGTCTAAAAGTCTAAACATAAAAGACTATAAGAAATATGAGTTTTATTCCCTGAAAATTTACTAAAGCAGCTAGTGGATATAGGTATGGACACACAATGCACGATTGATTTGTCTAGCGTTGACGCTGATCGTATCACCAGCTGGGCCCCTGATCCGCGTAGACCAAGAGCGAACACTCATCGTTTACGGCTACTACGGGGAGAACCTTTTCAACAATGAAACATATGAAAACTTATTTGTGCAACAAAACGAGCAATGAATTTCTCGCCGATTGCTCAAGTATTTTATTTAAAACAATGTATACTATTGGTATGGATGTAGACTCCATTATTGATGTATTCGCTAAATTAAAATACCATCGTGTACAATTTATATTGTAAAAAAACTATAATATTTTTTTACGGTTCTAATTTTCTAATGAAATGCGGCCCAGTGCTCTTCTGTTTTCTGGATCCGCCACTGATCATGGTCAATCATCTTTGTTATATATATTGGTAGTTCTTTCTAAGGTTCTAAAACAGTATCGGAGGTTGTATCGATAAAGTTAGCGGTAGGCAATTTAATGTTGAAATCGTGGTTTAATCATTTCATATGGCTAAAAATCATCTATCGATTTAACCTTCAATAAAGAAAAAAAATTCTCGATCGAACAACCAATACGATTTACAAAAACGATTGTTTATTCAAAATTTCTAAAAAAGAAACGAAATAATTGAATAGAAATTAATCAATCGTCTTAAATAAAAAGAACAGAGGTATACATGCTCAATAATCTTTTTACCAGCGGTAAGTAAACACAACCCTGACCTCCCAAGTAAAAGGAAAATACCCGAGGCTGAAATTCCGATCCGCCGCGAACTCCCCGTTCTTCACCTTATACGGCACCGAAACCCGCTCCTTTCTCGACGTCATCGGATTATCAATCACCGCGTAATCGAAATCGCCGTCGTAATACACCAGCATCGTCGTCTCCCCACCACCTTGCACCCTCCGATTCGCCTTGATACACCACCAATTCTCCGCATCAAACTTCCCGTCGGCGCTCCACACCTGTACCGCCGGCGGCGGGGGAAGTCCGCCGCAGTCCTCGTCCAACAGCCAGAACGCATCGATCGCCTCCTCCTTAAACGACGGCACCCGACACCGCACGGGACTGATCGGCACCGCCGGCGGCGACAGGGCCAGGAACGTCGATCTCGCAACCTTCACCCGCCGCCGCCTGATCTTCGCCGGCGCCTCGGAGGCCGAGATCGTGTCGCGGTACCTGTACCTGAAATCGTAGCACCACTTTCGGTACTTCTCCAGATCCCTCTTCGCCGATTCCAGATCTAGGGTATTGGATTTCAATTGAGTCTTCAATTCCCCCAATTTCTCCTCCTTTTCCTTCAATTGCTTTTTGTAATCGACGATCGCCTCGCTCTTCTCGCCGCTGCGGCAGGGGAACCCGTGGCGGGTGTCCCACAGATTGGCGACTGTATTTGGCGGAGGGAGGTTAACGGCGCCGTATTGAGACCAGTTGAAGGTGTCGTTTAATCGGAAGAACTGTACCCCAAAAGCCGGGTCAACGAATCCTCCGCCGCCGGCGGATACGTCTATGAAGGTGTTCCCGAGTGGGTTGACGTAGAAATGCGACTGGGAGAGGTCTTCCGCCAGATTCCTTAGGTCCCGTCCCGCGATCTCCTCTTCGAACAGCTTCAGGGCGTCGTATTGATTCTCCTCCAGCTGGTCGCGGCTACAGGTCGCGATAATTGTGACGAGCTTGCAGTCGGTGGCTCTGACCGCTGACGGCGGTGAGCTCGTTGACGAAATCATCAGCTCGTAGACGTCGATCGTGGTGGAGTCGTATGAAGCGAGGAAATGGGTAGTGGAATTGAACTGGAAAGGCGCCATGATCACAATCCGATTTTGAGTTTCTTTCTGCCGTGAATCTTATATCTCTCATCTCTGGGTTTTATTAGGGGATTTGGATTGAAATAATCTTTGTCAGAATCTTTTGGAAAGGACGTATCGGATCGACGACTTTAGACCTTCGGGGAAAAGGTCAACATACACACGGATCAGCTACGTGATCGTGAGTCTTGACCGCATTATATCAATTTGTCAACTGACGCGGAGGTGATGTAATGGTAATAAACTAATAATGCATGATTAAATCTTATAATTAATACGAAATTAGTAGGTAATTGTGATGAAATGACGAATGAAGAAATGAGCAATTACTGATTGGTGGGCTGATATATGATTTCCGTACACGTACACCAATTGGAGAATTGTCAGAGGTTGACCAATAAAATACGGACTTCTCTTCTCTTCTTCTCCGTGTGATCGATCGAAGGCGCCATTGTTATTTGTTAATGGTACGTACATTTGCTTAATTGCTAGGCCGGCGAGAAAGTGTAGTAATAAAACGCTTTAAACTTTAGGGATTAAATCGCCATCAAATATGTTTAGGTTGTTAGGATTTTGGCTCGCTTACTTTAGGCGAATCGAGCTGAGTTTTAATATAATTTGGAGTTAGTTGGTTAATAAACAGGTTGACCTTTTAACTCTTTGCTCATGTTTGACTTGAACAAGGTTCATTAATGAGCTCACGAGTCACGAGCCCAACTCGAGATGTGTTTTATTAAACACCTCACGAAATATGCTCAAGCTTAGACACCATATTATCTAGCCCATAAATTTTCATTGTTCAGATCATGTTATTTACTAGTAACTAGTAAATAAACAATCTATGGTACATAATTTCTCTTTTAGTCTGTGTAGACTTTGCATCGGGCTTTGCTGTACCTGCTTGCAGCTCATCGCTAAGCCCGGGCTGCTCTTGTATTCTCGGTTTTGATGCTTTGTTCTTGCTTTGGCTTGTTTCATCTCATTGTCTCAATGTCTCTTTCGGTGTTTCGGACGAGTTGCAGGGAGGGCCTGGTCCCTTCAGCAGCTCTTGGACCCTTTTTACTCTGCCTTTTCTTGTTTGGGATCAAGTTATTTTGATCCATTTTTGTTGTGTTTAGTTTCTTTCTTTGTAACTGTTTCTTTGTTCAATAAAATCATCACCATTATAAAAAAAAAAAAAATTCTCTTTTATATTATACATGAGGTATATATGTTAATGTACTCAAAGTTTTAAACATCAAATGTGATGAGATATATAATTTAACAAACTAAGTCATTATCAACAAGCGAACTCATAAGCTATTAATCGATTGACTCATATGTCGTTGTAGAGGTGGCTCGATGCTACACTGTTGAGCCAGCTCATAGTTCAAAACGAGCTAGCTCATGAGTTGGGCTTGACAAGTCATTGAATCGAGCTACCTCGCGAGTTGTACAATGTTTAACTCAAACTCGACTCTTTATTAAACAAATCGAGTAACAAACGAGTTTTTTTCCGTGAGCACATTGGCTCATTTTGCAGGTATGTGTCATTAGGGCTAGCTGACGAACACATTCAGATTCGATTTGCTAGCTATTGACTGTCATTTGTTCGTGGACGAAGTATCTATGATTCATATATATGTTCGGATTGATCGAGTTTTTCTTGTTTTGTCCATGAGTTGTCTTTTTCGTGTGCAATGTATTTTGGTTAGCTTTGTGTCACGCCAATTGCTACTCGGGGTGTCTTGTGATCACTTGGTAGAATATAGCATATGGACTTGTTTTCTAGCAATGATGCTAACTATTGTTAGTAAGTCTGGTTCCATGCTTTGTGATTGTACGTCTTCCGTCGATTTTTCCCCCCTTGGCGGGAGTGTGGAAGCCGGTTGTAGTTTCTAAGGTTGCAAATTGAAAAACATATGAATTGATACGAAAAAAATCCTAAAACTCAAAAAATAAAAGCTAATTGCGTTTTGTTTTGCTAATTGAAGGATGCCAAAATGTAACTCTTGTGTATTATTAAGTTGATTGCAGTTTATAGCATAGTTAGTAAATACTTCGTTTTGTTACACGTATATGTACCTGCACGTACTTTATCTATTTAAAACTTTCGTATCCGTATTATATTGTCAAGTCGTTCCATTTGTTTCTTTTCATTTAATGGCTACCGTACTAAACACGTATAAAACCCGTATAACATGTTTAATATTCGTATTTAATGAATTAAATTATTAACTTTACTATGTTTTATATATTTATTTATTATTAAAAAATAACTAATTTTATATATTTATGACTATTAACGTAATATTAAAAGTAACATTAATTTATAGATGAAGTAAAATACGTAACTTTCTCATACCGTATTTTACTAACTATGGTTGATCGCGAATCCAAAAATCCATAAACTGACAAGATAAGTCCTCAACTTAACGATTATGTTGATTTAGCTGGTTGGGTGAATGCTAAATGTTCTTTGTATTCCTCTTGACTTATTGTTATGGATAAGCAAAAGTTCAACACGATAATAAAAAATTTCGTCCTTATTTGTTTCTCTGTCTTCCCTAGGAATTTCTTCTATTCTCAATGAGTAATCATAGTCAGTAATCCAAATAATTAAAGACTATGTACATCATCAATTATATTGTCTTCTAGAACATCAAGAATATTGCTGTAGAAGTTTAAAAGTTTGACCAGATATACAGTCAAGGACAGTTTGAACAAGCAGAAATTTTTTCCATTTGCACATTTGCAGTTTGGTTAGTCCTTATACTTTCTATCTCATCCAATTAAGTCCCCACTATCTTTATATTCCCCCACCCAAAAAAGCATCCGCGTAATTCTGAAATGTATATAAGCATTGAAATGAACCCACAATCCTAACTAATATCTCATCAATTTTTCTTCAGAATCAAACCAGCAAAATGAGAATGACTCCCTTCGAATTGAAGTCCCGAAACCTCTTCATCTCCTCGTCCGACAACGCCACCATCGACATCTACTCCCTAACCACCGCCGACGACGAAAACGCCGCCATTAGTACCGACACATCCACCGTCACATCCGACGACTGGAACCTCGTGGCCTCCGCCGGACCCCTGGCCAGAACCTACGATTCCCTCAAGGTGTTCGACAAAATGATCAAAGGCCGGCCGCTCAGAAACCTCGCCGAGGATCTCACCCAGTCGCACCTCTTGGTCAACGTCGAAGGCCTCTGCTTCCTCGACGTCACCAGCTACGTCAACCCAATCCTCGGATTCCACTACTTCCGCCTCCAGGATCTGTTCCTCTGGTCCCGCCACGTGGCAGGGGAAAACGTTACAACAACCACCGTGTGGAACCCACGCGACATCGTCTACGGCAACGTGGCAGTCGACTACGCCGGTCAAATCGCTGACAAGGACGCCGAGCTGGAAACGTTGACCCGCCACGTGGACGATGCGGAGGTCCAGCTCGTGGTCACGAGGGGCGAGCTCGACTACTACCGGAAGCACTACTGGGGCGCGGCGCAGCCGTCCCAGCTCGCCGTCGCCGACGTCGGAGCCATTGAGAGGAGGCGCCGGCCGCTTCCTTCGGCGACGTTTGCCCGGGGTGGGGATAGCGGGAAGCTGCGGGTTCCGTCGTTGGACGGGAAGGCGGTGGATGATTTTGTGGTGATTGATGATGGTGATGAAGGGTTGGTGGGGCCGGCGCCGGAGTTTAAGGTGGGGTGGGAGGCGGCGAAGGGAGGGAAGTTCGACACGTGCGACTGGTGGTACGTGCGGACGAGCGACCCGGACGGAGGGTCAACGATGGTGGCGTACTACGACGGCGGGTTTGACCATGTGGAGTTTTATAATGGGAAGACGGGGAGGAAAGAGCGGGTGGCGGTGCCTTGTGCGGTGGACGGCAGCTTTAGGGCCACCAGGCATCTCAGGCTCGCTACTTTGTCGTCGTTGCAGTTGAGGGTCGTGTTCAGTTACATTCCCCCTATCCCAGTATTTGAGAAATAAATATTAGTCCGGTTGTATTTGTGTGACCATATTAGTCCGTTGTATCAGTTAAGATTGTAGACTAGATAGTAACAAAAACGTAACAACTTTTATATCATTTTCTATTGATTTTTTACTTTGATATTCATATTAGGACTATAGTCGGGCAAAATCGAATCGATTTTTTACTTGATTTGAACTCAATGCGTTTATTAATTGTCAACAACACTGTTGAATCAAGTTATGACAGGTTGGATTGGGTCTGATGAACATAATGAAAATGGTTCAACTCGACTTTAATTCTGCTACACACAATAAATAATACTTACAAAGAGAGCTTGCATTTAATTTGATGAGCTCGCCTTGAAATTTTTTATTTGTTGAAGAAAATAATCATATCATAATCTTAGAACAATTTCAACCATCTGCGTATTTTATCAAATAAATTTGAGATTTGAGCTCACCGAGTCAAGCCAATTCAAATGTACGACTAGTTGAGAATGACAAAGCTGCAACTTGTTTTTTCGTTTTTTTTTACAAACAAGCTAGTTCAAGAATCGTCTCATTTGGAAACGAGTAGAACGTAAAGGGAGTTATTTTCTATGTGAAGTTGTGAACTCCAAATCACGCCCTTAGAAGTTGGAAGCAAGTATGACTACGAGTTTGGGATTGGGCCGTAAGCACAATGTCGGGTATGGGCCTTTGGGCATTTACATGGTTCCCCCATGGCTTTGATCTTTGAATATTGGATCCTTCCATGGGCTCTTCGTTAATCTTCCAAGAGCTCAAATGGCTTTGATTAGCCATTTTTGAGATGTGTGTCACTGTGTCACCAACTTTGATGAGAGGCCTTGGGAGAAGCGGCCAGCTGGTTACTACTTAATTAGATGTTCCCGCACCCTCTCACAGCATCAACATTCAGCTGAGATCATATCTGAGATCACATTATAGTATTTACTTAGATGGCCTGCAGTCAACAAAAGGAAGGAATCTAGCAAGTTGACCGCCAAGACTAGACTGGTGGTGCTCGAAGATTTTCATGTGCGATATATTGATTGGACGAAGCAGTGGGTGGCGTTGACATGGTTGGAAACTATGCAATGGATGAAATATATAGATATTGGAGTGTGATCAACTTCTGAGAAGTCAAACCACCGCTGCCTATCCATCCTATTCCTAGCATATGAACACCCCACAAACAAAGCAGCCAAAAGTGGCGGATTGACTGCCCTGCCACGCACGCTATAGCCTCGTTCCCGTAGCTAATTAAGAATATAATAATTGGCTGTACCTTCCCCAGATTATGAGTTCATTGCTTATTAGGGTTTTGCAGGTTAGCTTCCTGGAAGCTCATCATCACTACAATAACAGACGTTGCAGGGGTCTTTTCACTTGTGATTGTCCGGTCTTGAGCCATTTGATGAGAAAGTTTCGAAATTGAATTTTATACATGTTAGCTACTTGTAAGAAAGTAACTTGCAAGTTAAGAAATTAACGAAAAGAGAAGACAGATATGAATTATGTGACTCGATTACTGATGAATATTACATTTTGAGGACCCGCTCAAATAAAATTAAGCTCACACCATATATCATAAACTAAAAATCAACAATTAATATTGGAGGTTCTTAGAACATGCATGAGGCTCTAGTACTTCTTTGTGAAGAACCAATTAGTTTTAATAATAACTAGAGTTGTTGAGAGGAGATAAAAAAATGACCTCGGTACCAATCTATTACAGTTATTTTATAGTTTTCTTCGGGACAGTTATAAACACGTACCGGATCGAGCAAAATTGTTGTTTGTGGTTTAAAAATATTTGTTTTGTGTACCCATATTATTAAGATTAGATTGGTAGTATTGAATTTTTTTGGTCTGCTAATTTTTAATATATTTGGTTATGTTACTCTAAACTTTGAAGTTCATATTCTTTGCCAAACTAAGTGTCAACACATTCAAATAGTACTATTCTTTCGAATGCAAATTGCAAATGTAAAAGCAGATTACGTACTCTTTAAGGAAAATCGTTATTGTATATACAAGGGCCTCTCTCCCCTAGGCAGAAGAGCAAGTAGCTTGACAGAAGGTTACGTAAAAAATTGAGCATCGAGCAAAGCAAGGCAGATTAATTATACTAATAGCCACAATTAAGACCAGACCTCGGATCACCAATTCCGGCCACGAAGCTGCAACCCTCACGGTTCTCTAAGTAATTAAAATAATCAGCATTAATGCCAACTTGCAATCTTGCTGCAATTTAGGGTTTCTTTTGCTTGAGAATCCGCGCCTAGACTAGACTAGTCTCTCTGGATCAATCTCCCACAACGCCTATAAATACCTTCCTCCCTTGCCCATCATTCATCACTCACTCAACAAAGTAAAAGCAGCAGCAGCAGCTAGTGAAGCAGATATCATTAGTAGATCGATCGATATGGCTCTCATCAAGGCTGCCTGCTTCCTCTTATTCTTTGCTCTCCTCGATTCCTATGTACGAAGACCAGTTCTTTGCTCTCCTCGATTCGTGTGCTTGCATGCATGATATATTCACTAATCGCATCTTGAGCGCCATTAATGTCTTCCTTTCTTCTCAACCACATCTACTCCTTTTTTTTATGTTTGCAGGTTTCAGCTGTTGCTCCCACAACAGCTCCGGCGACTGTCGCTCCGACCCATGCTCCGGTCACACCGACTCCGGTAGCGCATGCCCCAATGGCACCCGTATCTGGAAACTGTACGTCGTCTTACAGCTCTTACTACCAATGCCCCTAATTTGGTCGTAAAAAAGACTCTTGTGGGTTATCTAAATATTGACAAATGGTGTGGGTGCAGATTGTGTGGCCAAGTGCCAGGACAGGTGCAAGACTCACCCGTCAGCCAAGAGGTTCTGCCAGAAGATATGCACCAGGTGCTGCATGAGCTGCAAGTGCGTTCCAACCGGTCCCATCGGCTCCAACGCTGAGCAGTGCAAGAACTGGACCGCTACTCTCTACCATGGCGTTCCTTACAAGTGCCCTTAATTAAAGATACTACTACTATTTCACATATCATCACAACTTATACTTCCATATATGTGCCCCCCTTAATATTATTACCATGACAACCTACCTTATTTCCAACACAGCCTTTAGTTTTCCATTTCATGTGTTGAAAGTTATAGCTAAGTAGTTCGTTTTGAAGTCTCGGTTGGCTTTGATATTGGGATTCTAATAAAAGCAATATATATGCAGTAGTGCACTAAATGTTTTCTAGCATCAATTGTTGTTAGGCCATGTCGTTTCATTTCATATTTTGATTTATGTAATTTGTCTTTGTTGCAATGGGAATAAAGAATTTTATGAAGATTCAGAGTCGATTAGGAAATTAGGTTAGAAACCAGAGGAAAAAGACGATAGAGAAATGAAATGGGTGGAATGAAACAAGACGGTCTCGAAATCGAGTTTGTACAGATCAAACTCAGTGACCGGGTCGGGGAAGTAAGTTGGGCCTAGATTGGACTGACGGGCTTCGAAGGGCATCAGCCCAAATACCCACAGTCTTAACTGAAGCTGGAGCCCGAACAGAACCTCTGTTTCGATCAAACGAAGGACTGAGAAACAGAGTTCTGTCAAGAACAGGGGAAGAACATAGCAGAATGTAAATGCAGAAAACGTAAATAAGACATGACGTTTTTAACGTGGTTCGCCCAAGTGCAATGGTGTACTTCCACGTCCCAGAATACACTCTGGGAGATCCTTGTTTAATTTTTGTTTAGAGAAAGTAAAACAAGACCAAAATACAAAAGGTGCAGAAAGAAAGCGAGAATGAAAGAATGAAAAACCCAGATCACAATCTTATCTGTCTCAGCCTTGACGAAGCTTGAACCTTTTCCTCAACTTTTCGTCAACCCATTATAACTCTTAAGCTAAGCCCTCTACTACTCTAGCTTCTACAAAGTGCTTGAAACAAGACAAGTATAGGAGAATATATAGTGTCAGGACACAACTAGCCGTTAGAGGAAAGCGGGAAAATAATTTGAACTACATACCGAAGCTTCCTTAAATGGTTGCTGAGATTGAGCACTAATCAAGGATGCAATCTAATAATTGTCGAAAACATATTAATTTTGTGTGGTATAGGTATGGTGACAGTGGGTATCCTTACCTCACCTCTTTACAAGCTGGAAAGAATCCACACAATCCCCCATTTATACTCACACTAAAGAATGCAGATGACAGACAGGCTTTGATCCATTTAATGACACATTTGGTCGCTAACTTTACTATTTTGTTTTTCGTTTTTATTAGTAGAAAATTTTAATTGCATCAATGATCACTAATTATGTATTCTCATTTCATCGTTCCTCACGGTTATTTTTTTGTTACATTTAAATTTAACTTACATAATGGTCAATGTTGACTATTTGAATGAGTTATAAGTTATGGTGGCGTATTCGCTGCACCCATTTTTTTTGGGTGCATTCAATGCACTCGCCTCATAACTATAGGTGTCAATCGGGCGGGTTCGGGCTGGGTTCAATCGGGTTGCGGGTTAATCGGGTTTCGGGTTCATCGGGTTGCGGGTGTATCGGGTTCGGGTTCATCGGGTTCGGGTTCAAACGGGTTGCGGGTTAGTCGGGTTGCGGGTTCATCGGGTTCGGGTTCAATCGGGTTGCGGGCAACTCGGGTTCGGGTTCAACGGGTTTTGGGTCGGGCGGATCGGGTTACGGGTTGTTCCGGTCAGCGCATCGAGTAACATACTCCTAACTCATTACCAACTTACACATTTTATTACACTAATTTAAAATATTTTTCTCAATTTTTAACCAATTTCATTCTACCTCGCATATATACTTAATTAAAAAAATACTAGTCAAAATGTTGAATCAATTTTTATGACTTGCAAACTTGTTATGTAATTAATCGTAATTGGTAAATTACACTAGCTAATAGGAATGGTGATATCAACATTTGCTACCAAAAGACACCATTAAATGTTTATTTGGTATGGTGATATCAACATTTGCTACCAAAAGACACCATTAAATGTTTATTTTGTATTTTAGTATTATTTCAGTAGTAATTGTATTAAAGTATATCGTTTAATATAACCATACAAATCTGGTATTTGGCGCGTGGTAAGCAAATAGGGCTAAACAACAAACCAGGCTAAGCTTTTACTTTGCTCTGGCTTCGAGCTCGACAAACAAAGCCTCAACTCCGACTAAGCTCAAGCTTGATACGAGCTACAAAATGTTAGCTTGAGCTCGACTCGATTAAAAAAATGTCAATTTGAACTAAATTTGAGCTCAACTATACGAGCCAAGTATTAAACTCGGCCCATATTCAGACACAAATTAAACTCAAGTTCAGCTTGTACTAAATAAAAGTCTGGGCTTTCTTTTCAGCCCAACCTAACAAGGTCTTAGCACTATAAGCACTACACCTTGATATGTCTATATGTCATGCCAGTCACTTTATTTTATAGGCATGGAAAAGCCACAATTTTCCATTCTCTCCGATGTGGTAATAAAGATCATAATGATGCTGTTATAAAATTTGGAGATGTAGCAGGGAAAAACGAATGACAATAATATAGCTGAACCTTACTAATACCACGGATTGGGGATAATGGTTCCTATCTTACCATCCTCTATTGTGATCACAACCTTACTAATAATTCACCTTCCCTCCATTTAAAATTGACAGCAGAGAATGAGGTTGTGTGTGGTGAGTAGCACGCTTTACAGTTGCAGCAGCAAGGATAGTACTGTTTCCATTCTCGTTGGCCATTTGAGGATTCCCTTTAGGGAGCTTGGCGACTGCAATCATGACCATTGTGTTTGCAATTACCCTATGAAACTGGATGTACTACTAAGGATATGAATGAAATAATTGGTCGGAACAGAGTGATTGACCGAAACTGATAACATGAGTGGAGTCGCAAGAGGCAGCATAGAGTAATTGGCCAGAACTGAACATGGAGGATAGAGAACTCGAGATTGACTACTGCGGAATTGTGTTCTTCGCTTGTGCTGCGGAATTGGAGTCATGCAGGCTGCAAAACACACATGTCAAAACAAATGAGAATGCGAAAGGTGGATGGACGGGCAATGTGGAAGTCACGATGATTATATATACTATAATGGGTGGTAATTATTATTAGGGTTATTAGTAATTGTAAGTTGTGATAGCAGACTGTTTCGTTGGCGAAACTCGCGTGTTCAATGTGCACTAGTTTCAAGTAAACACAAACACAAAATCAGCAAAAAATCGTCAAATATCCGCTGCCGGTGTCGGCGCCGTTGATTTGATCGATCAAAACAGAAACAAAGACGATCGTCAAATGGCCGCCGCCGGTGTCGGCGTCGTTGATTTGATCGATACACCTTTGACTTCTAATCAAACAACTGTTATTTGGTTCAACACCTCTCCAAATTATGTTCGAACGAGGGTGTTCGAATAAACAGAAAATCGAACCAGGAGTGTTCTAAGTTACGTTACCTCTACTCCTATGGAGGTTCCTCTGGAGAGCTCCGCGACTACGACTACAAGCTACGATCTACGACTCTGCAAAGGAGTTCTTTGACAGAGCGATTCTACGAAACTAGAGAGAAAAAAGATAATTCTGCAATGGTGCAGTTGTGATTTGATTTTGCCGTCTGCCACTTCTCTCTCTTCCCCATCTTTATACTTCGCGCCTCTCCCCGTCGTAGTAACTGCCTTCGCGCCTTTGTCTCCCACGTCTTCACTCCTGTCAACCGTGCAGGTAACTTCCTCCTTGTTGCGTAACTCCCACGAGTGCGAAACCGCTTGAGCACGTGGCAACTTGGCCCAAAACGACACTGAGCCGAAATTCACCATTACTGAACTCTCTGCGTTGTTTTCTATTAAACAACATCGTTTCAGTACCGCGACGGTGTCGACACTCACGATGTCGTTTTCGGCTAAAGCGACACCGTCTTAACTGGTCCCTAAAATATTAATTAATTAAACCGGCCATCATTGTTGACACGCTCTCAAACTCTCACTTCGCGGCGCCGTTAGTAATTAAACAACATTGTTTTCTATTTCTGCGATGCTGTTGAACTTTGCGATGCCGCTTTAACTTTAACGCCGTCGTTTTAACCATTGCGGCATCGTTTGGCCCCTTCGCGGCATCGTCTTTCAATTCGCGGTGTCGTTCCTTCCCCTTGCGGCATCGTTTTCAACTAACGACACCGTGCTAAGAAGTCACTAAAATATTAATTAACTACTCTGACCATCACTAGTCCACGACCAACAACGTCGTTAGCGCCAAAACGGCTCCGTTTGTTTTTCCTTTTGCGACATTGTTTTCTTATTAAACACTGTCGTTTGCTTGTATAGCGGTATCGTTGGGCTTCCTCGCGGTACTGTTTTTAATTCCGCGGCATCGTTTTAACCCCCGTCGGTGCCGCTTCTTCCCATCCAATGAATAAAAATAATAATTAATTAGAGAAAACTCCTCCAATACCCACGCGCGGCCCTTTTGTTTTTCGGTAAGCGGTGTCGTTTGGAGTACCGCGGTACCGCTGAGCTTCCTTGCGGTACCGTTGTGGTTCTCCGCGGCGCCGCTCGACTCCCAACGATACCGTTTTTTACGAGCGGTATCGACTTAAATGCCGAGACTAATGAATGCGGCATTTAAGTCCGGCCAAATTAATTTTAGGTGTCAACACAGACGAATGTTAAATTTAGTTAAACATTGAGTTTTAACCAAACATTGGTATTGTTGTGAGTTGTGATTCAACCAAACTTTGAGTTTTATACCTAAACCATCAATACATTATACACTAACCACATACCCTATACTCTAACCATAATCCTTATGAGTTGTGATTTTGCTAGTATAGTTAATTTAAAGTGAAATTCATACTCTGATTTTCAAAACATAGATAAAAAAGTGTCAATTGCTATACCCGAACCATATATTCTATACTCTACACCATATACCTTGTACCCTAACCACGTACCATAAACATAAATTAAAAAGGGATCTCCTGCCATTAAAGACTTCAAATGACTTCAAGTGAAAATATGTTAATAAAAAACTTAGAACCGTCAAAATCATCAATACCTTATACCCTAACCATATACACCCTAAACCATCTGTACCTTATACCCTAACCATATACTTTATACCCTAAACAACGAATCGTCAAAGATTACTTATCAAGTTTAGTATAATTGTTGGCTCATATTCACCTGCCCATAAATTATCCATTCCAAAGTTCCCACCCAAACCTCCCTCTCATTTCCCATTCCAAAGTGACCCGCAAGGCCGCAACCCGATTAACCAAAATTTTCAAACCCGCAACCTCACTGAGTTATTGCAATCGTATGACTTAACATGTCAAGTTTAACTCCCATTTTGAAATAAAAGTTCAACACGAACACAACTTAAATGTGCCCAAATTTTACTAAGTGTTGTAAAACAACGATTATGTAGTGTTGAAGTTGCGATAAATGTAGAAGCATAGAAAACAAGTAGACAAATTAAGAGATATGTAAAACAAATGATTGTTGTAACTAATGGTTAATTTAGTTATTAGTCCATAAACAATTTCACAAATATATATATTATCCTTCAAAGCATATAAGAATAAATTTAACTAGTCATGCCCTCCATATAAAAATTAAAGATTCATATTTCAAAGGATAAAATTTTGAAAACCCAAAAAGTTGAAAACAACAAATTTGTTTCCCTCTTTCTTTTCAAAAAAAAAATTATTAAAAATTTCCTCCTTTCTCCTTTCATATATTAGAAACGGCTAAATTACATGTTTGGTCACTCAAATTACATAAATCTTTCACATTTGCCACCCGAATTATTTTTCTTTCTTATTCACCACTAACTTTACGAATAATTTCACCGTTAGTCACCCGCCGTTAGTCTCCGTTAACTCCGTTAATTTTTTGATGACATGGCTAAAGTAACTGCTGACTGGACTATAATTTAAAAAAAATAAAAAAAAAATAAACTTATTCAATCGTCCACGTGTCTCTCCTACTGCTACTCGTTCCCCTTCCCTCTACCCTCCCCCTCCCTTTTCCCCTTCCATCGCACCCTCCCGCTCCGTCGAAGAAAGTTGATACTCAATCAGTGCTCAAAAGGTAATTGATCAAATAGCTAGCTGAATCCCCCATATTGTTACCCATAAAGAACCATCGATGTAATTTTGATTGGATTGTTGGAGAGATCTCTGTTTCTCATCTTCGGTTTTCTTTTTCTTGGATTTGTTTGTTGATAAACAGGTTGCAATCCGAGATGATGGCTTTAATGGTGAGAGGAGAAATCTCGTAATCAAATTTGCAATTGTCAATTGATTGATTTGGTTGGTTTTCCGTTAGCTGATTCAAGAGATCTGGTTATGGTGGGGTTTTTGTCAACAAATGAGTGGAGAAACAGGGATATCCGCATTTCCAGAGGAAGACAACATCTTCTGCTGGAAAGGAACGATCATTGGGAGCAAAGATACAGTCTTTGAAGGAACTGAGTACAAGCTTTCTTTAGCTTTCCCCAACAACTACCCGTTCAAGCCACCAAAGGTGAAGTTCGATCTGATGTGTGTGTTTCTGTTCATTTTGTGTTGAGAGTCAAACATCGGTTCACCGCTCAACACTCAGGCAACAATGAGCTTGTTTGACGGAGTGACGGTGGAGTAGAAGACGAAGAAGAGGCGGCCAGATCTGAGATCGGGACAAGGTCGAATTTTAGGGAATCGATGCGGACAAAGTTTGTGAAGCATCAACCTCTGCAGAATCAGAAGTAGCCGCCGCCGCCCTTGATTTATTGGAATGCGGGTGAGTCGGATGGAGCTGGATCGTCGGAGCTGCTCGAGATCGGAAGAGCCTAGCTCGATCGCAGTTTCAGTTAGCTGAAAAGTAAACTTTTCTTTTCTTTTCATTTTCTATTTTTAATTAATTAATTTTTTAAATTGATATGTCATTAATTTAACGGCCCAGTCAGCAATTCTGTTAGCCATGTCATCAAAAAACTAACGGAGTTAACGGAGTCTGACGGAGACTAACGGCTAATGACTAACGGTGAAATGATTCGTAAAGTTGGTGGCGAATATGAAAGAAAAGTAATTTGGGTGGCAAACATGAAAGATTTATATAATTTGAGTGACCAAATGTGTAATTTAGCCTATTAGAAACACACAATTTTCCCTCTTCTTTCTCCTCCATAAAATTAAAAGAACCAAATTTCCCTCCTCTTTCTCTTTCATAAAATTGAAAAACCAAATTTCTCTCTTTCTTCCTTCCTTACACAAAAAATTGAAAACTCAAAATTTCCCTCTTATTTCTCTTTCATAATCAAAAGAACCAAACTTTCCCACTTCTTTCTCTTCCCACATATCAAAACCATCAAAATTCCCCCTTGTTTCTTTTCTAAAAAATTCAAATAACCAAATTTTCCTCTTCTTTTAAAAGCAACAAATTACCAAATACATTACTTTACTTTATTTATATGTAATTGATAATTTTATTGAATAGTTAAATTAACCAAACTTTTAATTTATATATTATATTAATATTGTCCATGATCTCGATTATGAATTCTTCATTATTAATATTGACATTGTGATTTTATATTTGATATTTACTTTTTTAATTTTTTTAAAGAACTTAGTGTTCAAGTGACATTCATGTTTCAATTTTTGTAATTTTCTTAAAATACATAATATCACGTGAGTTTCATATTTTTTAAATTCCTTAGACGAAATGAAAAATAAATTTTACCTAAGTTTAGAATGAAAACTTTATTTTGAAAAACTATGTATTGTATAATATAATAATTATTCAAGTGGATTAGGTGAAGTTCGGGTTGAGTCGATCGAGTTACGGGTTAGTCGGGTTCGGATTGATCGGGTTCGGGTTAATCGGGTTCGGGTTTAATCGGGTTGCGGGTCAATCGGGTTCGGGTTAATCGGGTTGCGGGTCATTCGGGTTGCGGGTTAGTTGAGTTGCGGGCCAATCGGGTTGCAGGTCGGGCGGGTTGCGTGTTGTTGACTTTTAGTCAATTCGGGTTGCGGATCGGGTTGCGGGTCGGGTTCTGTTTTGACACCTATACTCATAACCATCATTTTAAACATGCGATTTATGTCAAAATGATGTCAATCATCACTTATGATGAACAATAACGCAGATGAATTTGCACAAAAAATCATTAAAGATTTAATTTAATTTGAACGATTTAGAGTTTAGAGATTTAGGATTAGGGTTAGGGTTTACAATCTGGGGTTTAGGGATAGAACTCAAAATTTGAGGTCTAGGGCTTAGGGTAATCCACTAATTAGTTGTTATCATATGTTATATCATCATATTACACTAATTTATAAATTAAAATTTAAAATCCGACACCTTAAGACTAGTTTTTGAGTTGGGTGCATTGAACACACTCATTTTTGTGAGTATACAGAAGTAGTCAATATATATATACCTTGGGTAAAATCAAGGGTACGACATACCCTGAGTTAAAAAATATTATCTAGACTTCGAATTGACCCGAGTTTGGCATCTGGTACTATTCCTAAACCTTTAAATATTAAAATCTAGGTTTTAATGTTATAAATCTCATACACTAAGATCAATTTAATTAGAAACAAAAATCGCCGGTCATGATTCATCGAAATATATGCAACAAATTACATGCACAATCTTAGCGGTTAGGCTCTATGATTTAGAAAACTAAGACCTAGGGTTCACTCATCAAGTGTTAGGGTATAGTACCATGCCCAAAACTTCGGTTAATTTGAGGTCTAGATAGTGTTTTCTTACTCAGGGTATGTCGTACCCTAGATTTTACCCAAGCTACGATAGAAGTCACTATATATATATTTTGAGTGGCCAACACTCTACTTTCTCAGTCCGCCGCTACATTTGCTCCTCTGAAACCCTAACCTGAAAGCTCCAACTTTCTCTTCTTTCTCCCTGGTTTCGATCAAAGCACAAGTGACGGCAGCCCGTCCTGCAAATGACGCCAGTCCCGAGCGTAACAACAAAGATGAGTTGTGAAATGGAACCATAGTGTTTGGATGTTTTTCATTTATATTTGGTTTTAAATAGGTAAAGGATTTGCACTACAAAACAACATGTGCAAGCTAGAATTTGGAGACATAGCAAAGATAAAACATAATAACCTAAAAAAAAAGTAAACATTGACAATAAAACTAAACTTAATGATGATGATAATTTTCTCTAAACCTTGTCGATTCACTTTGATATTCATGGTCACCGGTTGAGTTTTGATGATAACTTGTAATATTTCATGTTAGGTGACGGTTACAAGGTGAGATTCTCGCTACGGTGAGGCTTGTGGGTGAAATCGGCCAATTTAGCCTAATTCATTATTATTGACATTGCCAGTGTATATATATGAACTGCAGAAACCAAGCAGCACCTAAAAGTCGGTCAATGACCTAACTAATTAAAAACATACACCTACAAAGGGACCGTTTATTGAATTTTACATCTCTTTTGCAACGTGAAAATACACTAGGCCTGATTGATCTTGATCTTGTGGTGATTTTTTACAAAACTAGCTTCTAAAGTTCTAATACAATTCGTTGGGAACTTGAAAGTGTTATTAAAAGTGTAATGAAGTGTTTCAACAACAACAAAAAAAAAAAAGTGTAATGTAGTGTTTGACTGATAAACTAGTGAAATTACTTTTTAACTTAGCAAATAGCAAGTAATATAAAATAATGAAAATATTTTAAATTGAAAAAAAGAAATAAAAATTAAAGATGGTTTTGATTGAAGTTATCTTATCTTAAATAATAATTTTATAACTTTTAGTTATCAAACATATCAATGAAAAGATTATATTTTGAAAAAAAAAATTATCTTGAAAATGGTTTTAAAACGAATATACAAATTTTAGATTATGCTTTTATGGTTCATAAGGAATTAGAAATGTTTGCTCGACTTCAATTTTTTTTTTACTAAAAACTACTTCAAAAAGTCGGTCCAAATATATGCTATGATTGTTTATATAAATAAAATTTTATTATTAAGATATTTTTTATTCATGGAAAATATTATAGTGGGGGATGCATTTATATATTCTGTAGAATGGACCTGGTTTTCTAGCTCCGTCTGAAAATCTAGATTGCGCCATAAGCTATTTTAATCCCCCAGAGCGGCTATAAATAGGAAGGATCCTCCAATCCCTTCACCACTATCCATCACTCACTGCAACAAAGTAAAAAGAGATAAGAAGTAAAAGAGATATGGCTCTCGTCAAAGCAGCTGCATGCTTCCTATTCTGCTTGGTCATCCTCCATCCCTACGTACGAGTCCGTTCCCATCGAAGCATTTAATTTCGTAGCTATAGTTTGTAATTGTATATTCCTTTAATGTCTTCTCAACTACGTACGTGCACTCCATGCATTTTGGTTGCAGGTTTCAACAGTGGTTGCTCGTACAATATCTCCGGCGACTATGGCTCCAGCCCCTTCTCCAATCATCATCATAGCAGACACCAGCCCTGCTTCGGAAGCAGAATTAGCCCCACTGGCACCCGAAGAATTCCTTACCATTGTATGCATGAATCAGTTCTCTATCGTTTGTAGTTGTTATTATTATAGTAGGGTTTTCACAAATTCATCTTGTTGTTCATGCATGCATGCTTCTTCGTGGAGTGATCGATCGTCACTATGATAATATCTATCTATCTATCTATCGCAAGCTAGCAATTGTGTTCTCGACTAGCTAGCTAAGTTACATGTACTGGATTTTGGTTGCAGATTTCTGCGGTTGCGCCTGCAACACCTCCGGCCACTTTTGCGCCGGCTGAACCACCGATAATCATCACAGCAGCAGAGGACGCCCCTGAAGCTCCGGTACCAGATGCCGCATTGCCACCCGCAATTGATTCTTATGCATGATTATGAATCAATTAATTAATTAATTAATATCCCATTTCTACTTAATTACTGGGCGCTTGTGTGTGTTCAATAATACCATGCCTACTTCACGTGTTCACTGTTAAGTACGTTGTAAGTCTCGATCGATCGGCTTCGATGGATCTTGGTGTTCTAATAAAAAAAGCTTATATATGTATGCAGCCAACTCCAGCTGAGTGTATTAATTGATTGGTAGTCAGATCCATATCATGTTTCACTTTGGTTTATGTAACGTGGCTGTATTGTCTACTTAGATAAAAGGTTGTTATAGTATATGATCAGTATCGTCTGAATAAAAGGCTGCTATAGTTTCGCAAACTCTTGTCTTAATTCTCCCTCTTTCCCTCTTAATTGTAATTTCTATATATCGAGTATCAGGAAATCTCAATTGAAAATGGAATTTCAATTCCAACGGCTAATCCATCCATGAATAAGATGACTGTTCCGACGCAGTTGTAGTCCTTAAAAATTTATGCGAAATAATAATAATAAAAATCATGACGTTTGGATTGCGGAGCACAAAGTTATGACCTTCCAAAGTTTGGAAGAATAGAAAAATTGCTCGTTCGGGGTAGCAAACGACGTTTTTTCGGGACCAAAGCTGGACCAAGACTCCTTTGAATGTTAACGGATTGCAAGATCTCGAAAAAATTATGCAGAATAAAAAAAAATTCGTTACGATCAAAGAACGGAGCGAAAAGTTAGTCTGTTTGAAGTTTCAGCACATGTCAGACCTTCACCGCGGTCGATAGCCGCGCTGATGCATTCACTTCTGTCCTCTTCCACAGTGATGCATTTCACTGCTTTTGTCCACTGCGGTGATGCCCAAACATGTGTATATTGGAAATATTTCATAAAACGTGTGTATTCTGGAATTTTTTTCCAGGTTTGGGTGGGCGCGGTTCCTTACATACAATTTTGAACCATGATTTTAAAATTATAATCATCTACGTAAAACAAAACTGTGTGGTGCTGTAATAACTAATATGTGATATAAAAAATCCAAAACCAGCCAGTATGTGATTCGAAGAAAACCAGCCCACACCATATCTTTTTTTGTTGAATTCCACCGCAACATCTTCGAACAATTATGTATAAAATATGTAATCTAAAAAATTTATTCGAATGTCATTGTAAATTGAAGTTTCTTTGTCAGATTGTTTGTAAACGGGAAGAAAATGAACAAAATTTGAGATATAAGAGATAATTATAATAAATTCTAGAAACAAAGCATCACCTAAAAGTTGGTCGGTGACCTAACTAATTAAATACAAGTTGTCCTATCCTCGCATGCCGAATGAGTTAAGTGCTTATGGCCAAACATATACCAACATTCCATCACCTAGGATGGCAACGGGTTTGGATGGGGCGATCGCGATTTTAATATTATTATAATCATCTTCGTTAACAAAAATGTGTGGTGATGTAATATGTGATATAAAAAATCCATAACCAATTATGTATAAATTTCACCAACAGCTAGTATGTAGTTCATAGAAAACCCACCCGCGTCATTTTTCCCGTTGAATTTCACCCTCACCATCCCCGAACAATCATGTACAACATTTGTGATATAATCTAAAAAAATTCTTCGAATGTCAATGTAAATTGAAGATTTTTGTCACATTTTTTGTAATATGGAGAGAAAATTAACAAGATCTGAGGTCTAAGAGATAATTATAATTTTCTAGAGATATAAATGAACGAAATGTTAAAGTGAATGAGTTTAGAATATAGTTATAGCACATATTTGGATGGTTCGGTGTAGATACTTAAAATATAAAAATCGTATCAAACCCTTTACCGTATTTGTCGGGTTTGGAGAATACATAATGTGAGTTGGATATTTTCCAACAAAATCAATTTCAATGAGGTTGAATACCCAATGGTTTATTTTGCTATCCTATGATCCTATCCCAACCCAACCCAAGATGTATGCGCTTATATAGACATGCATATATATATAATGTGATCTATTATGTATTAACATATGAGCACTGTCCTAAAAAAAAACAACTGAAAATTCAGTAAACTAACTGCCATGGCTGATGCTTTCTTCCTCAGTTCCCCGGTCAACAGAAACGACCAATTTTCCAGCCGATGGCTGATCACTTCAGCAACCATCGTAATAATACTGGTGGGAATTTGGCATTTTGTATCGACATTATTGGTCAAAAGATTAGATCACGAGGAGCAACAGCTTCTCTACCTCCGGGGCCTCGCGGCTTGCCGATTGTCGGGTACCTCCCATTTCTCATGTTCAACGGGAAGAACATTCCACTTCACCGGCAATTCACCCACCTCGCGGCCCAATACGGGCCCATCTTCAAAATCCGGGTCGGAAGCCAGCTCCAGGTCGTGGTCAGCTCGCCGTCCCTGGCGAAACAAGTCCTTCGGGACAACGAGTCGATCTTCTCGAGCCGCGACCTCCCGCTAGCCATCCGGGTTTGGACCTACGGTGGGCTGGACCTCTCTAGCCTGCCAATGAGCCAAGACTGGAACTCGATGCGGAAAGTGGTGCTCAGGGAAGTGCTCAGCAACCCTAGCTTGGACCGGTGTTACGAACTGAGACGGAGCGTGGTGGTGAAGGCACTCAGGGAATTAGTTAGGAGCGGTGGCAAGCCGGTTGGAGTGTTGGAGTTGGCGAATAAGATGGTTGCGAATGCGACGATGGCGATGACGTGGGGAGGAAGGGATGATGATGGTGACGTGGATAACGAGGAGGCGCGACGATTGTGTGAAGAGGTGATGGCGCTAATGGAGAAGCCCAACGTCTCCGACGTGTTCCCACTTCTTGCGAGGTTTGATCTTCAAGGGATTGGGAGGAAAGTGGCGGAGGTGGCTGGACATTTTGACCGGATCATTACCTCCGTGATTCAGAAACGTTTCGATGGTAAAGGGTCGTTAATTATGGATGACGGCCGAGAGATGAAGGATTTGCTGCAGGTTTTGCTGGAGAATCGGGAGAGGTCTGGCGCGGGATCGCCTTTGGCGTCCATCACCCAATTCAAAGCCCTTCTTCTGGTACATTGTATTTACATGTCCATCCCGTTAACCTATAATGTAACTCGAATTGTTGAAATAAATTTAATAATATATCTTATATCATATATTAACACGCTTCCTCTAATAAAAATAATTCATATAGAATTTAGCTTTGCAGAGACATCAAACATCATGTGCTTTACTAATGCAAATTACCGGAATTGCAACAAATGATCCGTCATCATTACAAAATTCTCTCATACGGTTACTCCCAATAATAACTCGATTAGATAATATTGCATGCATGTTTGACAGGACATTACACCGGGCGGGACGGGAATGGTAGCAACGGTAATCGAGTGGGCGATGACGGAGCTACTAAGGTGCGACAAGGCAATGACCAAAGTCAAGCGGGAGCTAGACGACGTCGTAAGGTTGGAAGGCCTAGTTGAAGATCACCACCTGAAAAAGCTGGACTACCTGGACGCCGTCGTGAAGGAGACGTTCCGGCTGCACCTGACTGTCATCCAACGAGAAGCGGTCCAGCCGTGTACCATCGGCGGGTACGCTATCCCGAAGAAGGCGAAAGTTATGATCAACGCTTGGGCCATCCACAGGGATCCACGGCTGTGGGAAGAGCCTTCGGAGTTCCGACCGGAGAGGTTTCTGGACAACGGGAGGCCTCTTGATTTCGTGGGCAGCAGCAGCGACTTCGTGTACATCCCCTTCGGGTCGGGTCGGCGGATGTGCGTCGGGTTTAATTTGGCTACGAGGCTGCTCAAGTACGTGCTGGCTTCGCTGCTGCATTCGTTCGACTGGAAGCTGCCGGCCGGCGAAGGAGGGTCGACGGTGGATGTTTCGGATGAGTTCACGTTGATCATCAAGAAGAAAAAGCCACTGACTATTGTGCCCACGCCTCGACTCTCTTGTTCGGATCTGCATGCATAATAGTAATATGTGCATAACTACTACTAGCTAGACAGTGTTAAATGAAGAATCCGAATCCGATCTGGAGAAGGAAATGGATGTGGCGCGCAGAAGGTTTTGAAGTCCCTAAGTAATACTACGTCGTTTATGTTCTGTTCTTAAGTTAATGCTGAGTCGTTTTGGCAAGTTTCTATTTGGTCCTTGTTAGTTTGAACTTGAGTCTTTTGAGTCCTGTAAAGTAGCCGTTGCTGGTTGTTGATGGTTGCTGGGTTTTCTGGGTTTGTTAGAAGGATTTTCTGTTAGATGGTTAGCTGATCTGAAGGGAAGTGGGTTCGTGGTTGTTGCCGAGATCAAAGGCAAGAAACCTTGTATTTATACTCCTTGATTGATCATTAATAAAATTGTCAGTTTGCTTTCTTCTGATTCAACATAGTGGTATCAGAGCTTAAGCGCAGGCTGTAACCAAAATTACAAAGATCTGTGAGTTCAGTGTGTGAGAATAGTGTGTGAAAACGTTATTCTTTTCTGGGTGTGGGAAACACGAGTGATCAGTGAGGCTGTGTTTAAAGTGGTGAGTGAAAATTCTTTGAGTGTGCAAGAGCAGAAAGGATGAGTGACAGTAGCTTTGCTCAGGTCTGTATCCCTAAGTTTGATGGGGATTATGACCACTGGAGTCTACTGATGGAAAATCTGCTCAGATCGAAAGAGTACTGGAGTGTTGTGAAATCCGGGTTTCAGGAACCTGGAGAAAGAGAGGAGCTGACTGGTGCTCAATTGAAGACTTTGGAGGATCTCAGGCTGAAGGATCTGAAGGCCAAGAACTATCTTTTTAGTTCAATTGATAAGACGATTCTGAAGACAATTACCCAGAAGGATACAGCAAAGCAACTTTGGGACTCCATGAAGATCAGATATCAGGGCAATGCCAGAGTTCAGAAGGCGCAATTGCAAGGGCTCAAAAGAAGTTTTGAGGTACTGGAAATGAAAGAGGGAGAATCTGTCACAGACTATTTTGGCAGGGTTATGGTTATTGCAAATTCCATGAGGAATTGTGGTGAGGATATGAATGATGAAATGATTGTTGAAAAGATTTTGAGAACTTTAACAGAAAAGTTCAACTACATAGTTTGCTCAATTGAAGAATCCAAAGACATCTCTGAGTTGACAGTGGATGCCTTGCAAAGCTCTCTACTTGTCCATGAGCAGAAGTTTTCAAAGCATTCACGAGAGGAGGATCAAGCTCTTAAGACAACTCATGAGTTTGCTGGTCGAGGACAAGGGAGAGGAGGCTATCAGGGAAGAGGAAGAGGTGGTTATCAAGGAAGAGGAAGAACCTGGAATCGTGCTGCTGTGGAGTGTTTCAAATGCCACAGGATGGGACATTACAGCAGAGAATGTCCTGAGTGGAACAACTCTCAGCAAGTACACTATTCCAACTCTGGTTCCTCTTATCCAGATATGAAAGAAGATGTTCTTCTAATGGCATATGTAGATCCAGAAGCTGAAAGTGAGGAAAGTCTAATGGCTCTAGTGGAGGACAAGAAGAATGAAGAGACTGAATGCTGGTGGTTTTTGGATTCTGGCTGCAGTAACCACATGAGTGGTAATAAGAAGTGGTTCACCAGCTTGGACACTAGCTTCAAATGTGATGTGAAGTTGGGAAATGGTCACAAGCTCGAAGTATTGGGTAAGGGCAGTGTCAAGCTCATGTTTGAACAAATTTCCTTGACTGTGCAGGATGTGTTCTTTGTGCCAAACTTAAAGACCAACCTACTCAGTGTGGGTCAGCTGCAAGAAAGGAATTTAACATTTGTGTTCAAGCAAGGAATGTGCAAGATCTTTCAGGAATCAAGAGGCTTGTTGCTGCAGACTGCTATGAAAACAAACAGAATGTTTGTGCTGCATGCAGGTTACAAAGAAGACAAGAAAGAAAATGTGCAGTGCCTACAAACTGGGACTGCTCAAGCAGAAACTCTAAATCTATGGCATAGGAGATATGGTCATTTGAATGCCAAATCCCTGATGGAATTGCACAGCAAGGGTAGAGTGCAAGGACTTCCAAAACTGGCTGGAGATCTGGGGGTATGTGGTACCTGCATGCTGGGAAAGCAACACAGACACAAGTTTCCTAAGAAGGCAACGTGGAGAGCAACTCAACCACTCCAACTTATGCATGCTGACCTATGTGGTCCTATTACACCTGCTTCAAATGGAGGCAAGAGGTATATTTTAACTCTCACTGATGACTACAGCAGGAAACTCTGGGTGTACTTTCTAGCTGCCAAATCAGAAGCACTCACCTGGTTCAAGAAGTTCAAAGTCCAAATTGAGAAGGAAACTGGAAAACTCATTACCTGCCTCAGAACTGATCGAGGAGGGGAATTTATGTGGCATGAGTTCAGAGATTTATGTGAGGAAGCTGGGATCAGAAGGCAACTTACAGCAGCCTTAACACCACAGCAAAATGGCATTGCTGAGAGGAAGAACAGATCCATCATGAACATGGTCAGATGTTCTCTTGAAGACACCAAGGTACCTGCCTCTTTCTGGCCTGAAGCTGTCGAATGGACCACTCATTTGCTCAACAGAAGTCCTACATCAGCAAATGATGGCAAAACTCCTCAAGAAATCTGGACAGGTAACCCTCCTTCAGTTGATCATGTAAGGGTGTTTGGATGCACAGCCTATGTGCATGTGCATGATCAACAGAGAAAGAAGCTTGATGCTAAAAGCATTAAGTGCAATTTTTTGGGAATTTCCAAAGAAACCAAAGCATACAAGTTATATAATCCTGCTACAAAGAAAGTCATTATTAGCAGGGATGTGGTTTTCAATGAAATGGAAGGGTGGACTGAATCAACTGAGGCTGAGTCAACCAGGCTGATCTGGGATGGCAGTGATGATCAGTGGTATGACTCAGAAGGGGAAGGAGAAGAAGAGCAGGAAGGAGGAGAAGAGGAAGAAGCAGGGACAGCAGAACCTACCACACCAGTAAGCACTGGTACTGCTGCCTCCACTAATGTACCAGCAACAGCAAATGAAGAAGAGGAAGAGGAGGAAGAAGTTTCCACTGATGCTTTGGGTCTGCCAGCAAGTACTGAACTTGGTCCAAGAAGAAAGAAGTTTCCAAGCCATTTAAATATTTATGATTGTACCTTTGCAGAAACAGAATGGCTGACAATGGTGGCAGTCACAGATGATCCTCAAAGGTTCGAGGAAGCTGTTCTAGAAGCTAAATGGAGAGAGGCCATGAAGAAGGAGATTGAAGCAATCAAGAAAAACAACACATGGATTCTGACATCCAGACCTTTTGGAGTTATTCCAATTGGAGTAAAATGGGTGTTTAGAACCAAGCTCAGAGAAGATGGAACTGTGGATAAATTCAAAGCGAGGTTGGTAGCAAAAGGATATGCTCAAAAGCATGGGATTGATTACACTGAGGTTTTTGCTCCTGTGGCCAGGTGGGACACCATAAGAGCATTTCTAGCTTTGGCTGCTTACCATGGCTTGACAGTGTTCCAGCTGGATGTCAAGAGTGCATTCCTTCATGGGGAACTTGCAGAAGAAGTATACATTGAACAGCCTCAAGGGTTCGAAGTTCCTGGGGAGGAAGACAAAGTTTACAAATTACAAAAGGCACTTTATGGTTTAAAGCAGGCTCCAAGGGCTTGGTACAGCAGACTCGAAGCATATTTTCTGAAGAATGGCTTTCAAAGGTGTGAATATGAACACACCTTGTTCATTAAGAAGGCTGAAGCTGATATCTTGCTGGTTTCAGTCTATGTTGATGATCTGATGTACACCAGCAGCAGTTCTGCTATGCTGGAAGAATTCAAGCAATCCATGAAGTCTGAATTCGAGATGACAGACCTTGGGAAGATGAAGTACTTTCTTGGTGTTGAGGTAACACAAACTGATTCTGGTATTTTCATTTCTCAGCAAAAATATGTGAAAGAGATACTGGAGAGGTTTCATTTGGCTGAGTGTAACTTCACTCACAATCCTATGACACCTGGAACGAAGCTTACCAGAGCTGGAGATGGAATTAAGACAGATGCCACTGAATACAAACAGCTCATAGGGAGTATGTTGTATGTCACAGCCACCAGGCCTGACATCATGTATTCAGTGTGTCTGCTGAGTCGCTTCATGGATTCACCCACCAGACAGCATATGATGGCAGCCAAGCGGGTTCTAAGGTACCTAAAAGGCACAATGGCTCAAGGGATCTGGTACAAAAAGTTGAATGAAGAAGACTCTCTGCTGGGTTATACAGACAGTGATTATGCAGGAGATTTGGATGATCGAAAAAGCACCAGTGGCTATGTTTTCTTTCTTGCAGGTGCAGCTGTCTCATGGTCCTCTAAAAAACAACCAGTTGTCACGTTATCAACCACAGAAGCAGAGTTTGTAGCTGCTGCAAACTGTGCTGCACAATGTGTCTGGCTTCGAAGAATAATTGAGCAGATGGGCTGGAAGAAGTGTGTAACTGGATCTACACGAATCATGTGTGACAATAGCTCAACAATCAAGCTTTCAAAGAACCCTGTGATGCATGGAAGGAGCAAACACATTGATGTTCGTTTCCATTTTCTGAGGGAACTTTCGAGAGATGCAGTTGTGGAGTTAGAACATTGTGGCAGCCATGATCAAGTGGCAGACATCATGACAAAGCCTCTCAAGCTGGAGTCCTTTCAGCTGCTGCGAAGTCGACTTGGGATGATTGATGGATCTGAGATTGAATGAACTGAAGCTATGGCAGAAGCTTCAGTTCAGGGGAGGATGTTAAATGAAGAATCCGAATCCGATCTGGAGAAGGAAATGGATGTGGCGCGCAGAAGGTTTTGAAGTCCCTAAGTAATACTACGTCGTTTATGTTCTGTTCTTAAGTTAATGCTGAGTCGTTTTGGCAAGTTTCTATTTGGTCCTTGTTAGTTTGAACTTGAGTCTTTTGAGTCCTGTAAAGTAGCCGTTGCTGGTTGTTGATGGTTGCTGGGTTTTCTGGGTTTGTTAGAAGGATTTTCTGTTAGATGGTTAGCTGATCTGAAGGGAAGTGGGTTCGTGGTTGTTGCCGAGATCAAAGGCAAGAAACCTTGTATTTATACTCCTTGATTGATCATTAATAAAATTGTCAGTTTGCTTTCTTCTGATTCAACAGACAGTAGACATGCACAGGATTTACACTTGTACGGTTGTAACCCTATATCGCTAGTCAAACTACTCTTTTGCTTGTCTCTTCTATGTCCGTTCAAGGACGTATGCTGTTCATCCTCATGTCGTATGTTGTCACTTCATCTATGAAACATAATCTTGCCATCAGAGTAACCTTTACTGTATTTACTAATTAAACGCTTCTCATCGTTTCTTGTGGGGTTATAGGTATAGTATGCCCCTCTACTATGTAGTTTTATCAAACATGTCCCTTTACTATTATTTACATCAAATATGCCCTTGTACTTTGGAAAAATTATCAAACATACCCTTCTGTTAAAATTTCCATTAAAAAAATCGTCAACCAAGGTTGAACCGAGATGTAGACGACCCGACATCGACAAATGAGAGGAAAAATGTCAGTTTTGTTCCCGTTTTATTTTTCTAGGCCTCGTTAAAGTAAAATTATTAGAGGTATTTGGTTCTACAAAAGAACCCAAAAAATTCTAAAGTGAAATTACCAAGGACATTTCAGACATTTGTGTCGCCCAAACCAAAGTACGACCGTGATTGACTGTTTTTGGATGAAAATATTAACAGAAGAGCATGTTTGATCATTTTTCTAAAGTACAGGGACATGTTTGATGTAAAAAATAGTATAAGGGCATGTTTGATAAAACGACATAGTAGCGGGGCATATTATACCTATAGCCCTTTCTTGTATACTGCTGTTGGCCGCTGTTTAAGTGTAGGTTGTCTATTTTCTCGTTGTTTTCTTCTCAGATGTCTTCTTTTTATTCGTCATGTGTGTTTTGCGTTGCTTGCAGAGGCTGTCTGGCCCGCTTAGCAAGCTGCTTTGTTCTTCCTGAATCATTCCTCGTGATCCGAGTTTGTGGTTCTTGTGTACTCCTGTTTCTCTCTTTTTTTAGTAATTTTAATCTTCGCCATTATAAAAAAAAACGCTTCTCATCGTTTCTTATGCCAGCATATATAGAAGACTTGGCATAATTAGGAGGGATTGAACTTAAGGTATGGTATGGTTAAGGTGAGATGTAACCCCTTGAGATTTGATGTTTGGTTGTAAAATATGATCACATGGTGATTAGACATTGAAAAGTGATAATATGGTAGATATTATCAATCCTCCACCTGAATTGTGAGTTTAATTCTAGTAGGCTATTATAATCCTCACCCTTAACTAAATAGTGGCCAAGGCTTCACTGCTCATCGATACTCTTAGACAAATAAGTTACATTACGGAAAAGGTAACTAAAGTGGGTACAAACCCAATGGAAAGCCATACATATTACACTAAGGAAAGTCACACATATAGGTTGAAGTTTGTACAATTAAAAAATGGGATTGTAGATCATACGATTTAAAGACCTACTATATATGATATTATATTAAGAATCAACTAGTCTCAATAATTCGACTAGTTAGAAGAGGTTTAATAATGAAATTTTATATCATATACTAACACACCGGCATTTTTAAAGGTGACTCCCATTTTGCTAAAGCATAAGTGGAAGAGTGCATTATATAAAACAAACAGGTGGAATGGCCATACACGAAGTAGTATGAAAGGAAAGAAGCAATGTTTGCTTAGCCTTACCATACTGGTCAGTCGGATCAGAAATACCGGATACTGAATCCAAAATAGAAATCGATTTTAGTAATAGAAAAATGGCTGAAACACAATTAACCATTGAATACACAAGTACTATTACTAATTATTTCCAGTACAATCTCCAGTACGATTTTAAACGCGTCTGTCTATAACTCACATACTATTCTCTATAGTTTGTCAATATCGAGGCATTCATCATGAACAACGATAATTAAATTGTTTCTCTCTATAAATTACGTACGAAATAATAAATTGTTAGGCCGCAAAATCGACGATGATAATCTCTTGTCCAAAATAAAACAAAGAGCAATGGCGTTAACATGAAACTTGTGCAGTCAAACCCGTTGGGGCTTGTACTTGTGGTGGGCTGAAGTCGGCCAGTAACCTAATAAGATAAAGGGCTAATACCACTACAACACCCGAACTATCGCAAAAATGCCACTTGTGTCCTATTGTATCAAATATTCCATCTGCGTTCTGAACTATGATTCCGTTAGGGTTGACTTTTGTTGACCGTTAGTTTTTAACAGAAAATCTAGTCAGCGCTGATGTGGCATCTGACGTGGAATTTTTCATATTAGTTTTTATTTATTTTCCATCTAAATTAATAAAATTTAAAAAAGGAAAAAAAATAATAACTCATTTCTCAGACCCCTCGTCCCATTATCCCTCTTCCCCAATTCTCAAAAATTAAAATTGCGACGCATCCAACCTGGAAACATCTTCAATTTCCCCACCATCAAATCTGAAATCCCGGATCCAAATCGTCAAGAAGCTACTCTTCCGCCCAGAAAACCCTCGAAGATTCCTTAGGCTGTGCGCCGATTTCGGAGGGATTCGCGACTTCCTGGGCTGGATCTCCCAAACGGAAGAAACGCCGCTGGGGGTGATTTGGTCGGAGTCCCCGACGGAAGAGCGTCGTGAGTCCACCGTCGTCATCAAGGCTTCATACCAGCCACCGTCGATCCTAGTCGCCACCAGCTCCCAGTCCTTCACTCTATTCTTCAAACCCAGAAATGCAGCAGATTTCCATTCGGCTCCTTGGCACCGCGCGCTCCAATCATCTTTCTCATTCGGCAGAACTCCAAATCAAGGCCCATGTAACGACCTCTTCCCACCCAGAACGTATTACAATGCTTTATTCATGATTTCAATCTCCGATTGAGTTGAATTGAACAAATTTTGTTTTGGAAAAATTAGGGTTCTTCGAAAAAATGGTAGAAGCTCCACCAGGTTTCCATTTCTCAGTCAAAGGCCGCAACAATTGTGGGCACCCTGTAACTGGTGGAACTGAACTAAAAATGGGAGAGATGAAGGAGGTGGTTGGCGACAAAGTTACTGGGAATGGAGAGGAAGAGGGGGAAGAGGAAGAGGAAGAGGAAGAAGCGGAGATTGGGTGGGGGTGGGGGTGGGGTGGGGGTGGGGGTGGGGAGCAAATAATTATTTTAATTTTAATTTTCTAAGAATTTTTTATTTTATTTATAACTCAATTTTTATTTTATTTGAATTAAAAAATATGAGGTCAATGACGTGGCATCTATGTGGCAGGCACATTTTTTGCCACGTCAACAAAAGTCAACTACGCGTTGACCACCGTTTGGTCAACCGTTATCTTTAACGGTCAACGAAATTGACAGGATACAAATGACACAAAGTATCATAGTTTAGGACACAGATGGAATATTTGATACAATATGACACAAGTGGCATTTTTGTGATAGTTCGGGTGTTGTAGTGGTATTAGCCCTAAGATAAATCAGGCAATGCATGCAGAGTTGGCCAATAACCTAACTAAATAAGTACGTGCTTAGCGTCTGATTATATCGCTTAATGAAGGTCATTAATTAATGGATGATAATCAATTCTTCGTAATGTTTTAACTTTTAAGAATGGATACTATAATTATATTTTCTGACAATTGTATTCCTCACTTTTCTAGAATTTTGTTACCAGATCAAATAACGTGAGCTTCCATATATATAGCATAATATAGAGAAACCTTGACCTTAATTAGATTCCATGAACCTTTTCAAGATCAGGTATAAATGTATAATACACATTTGCATAACCAAAATTTATGCATTTGTACTTAATTTTTATGTTCTTTATCGTCCATGTCCATAAATTTGGCAAAAGAATATCTGACCCTTGGCAACGTACTAGACTTCTTTTCCATACCAATAGTGAACTTTGTATAAAATTTGGATTAGCTTTGTACTAGAGGAGAAACTGTATTTATTTTACATTTCTTTTATAATATTAAAACACAATATATTTATTTTCATAGAAAGAAGGTATCGGTTCGTTACTTTTCAAGATTATTGTTTTGTTAATGATATAGAGTATCAAGTTTCTTATATCTGTTAGTCAATATATTGTATGATTTTCTAGTATCAATTTTTATTACCATGCATTCTCAAGTTTAAGATATATGTTAGGTTATTTCTAGTATTAGTTAATTAGTTTGTATTACACATTGTTGTTGCTTTTCACCGGAGGTTTTGGTATTTATATATTGGTTGGTTTTATTATCATATTGATTTTTATTAGCATTGATTTTGAAATTTTGTGGTATCGTTTAGGCAATTGTTTCATATACATGCATTTTCTTACCATCAACCAGTCACCAAAATATGTTGCCGTTGCATGAACCCGGTCGAAGAAATTTGGCAGCCAACAGTCAAGTAATTTTAAAATTAATAAGCTACTTAAAATTTTCTATTCTGAATCTATCAAATTAATATAAAACTTTATATATGTACTTTTCTCAACTAATGGCTATCTATTGAGTGAAACATGATCGTAACAATTAGCAAAGAGGTGAGATATAACATGTTTTCGTTATACAACCCTATAAATAGCATATCCTCCCTTCGCCATTATTCATCACTCACTCAAACAAATTAAAGTGAAGAGAGAAAGTAAGGTAGTTGCCAGTATAATATGGCTCTCATCGTCAAGGCTGCCTGCTGCTTCCTATTGTTCCTTGCCATCCTCCAATAACTTATTACTTATTGGGCACTTCGATCCACTGTTCTTGTTGTTGTCCATGGGGCCGGATAGCATAACAACAGCCATAATGTTGTTATAGTAACAACAAGGATAAAAGAGTAAATTGACAAAATAAAAAAATTAATTTGAAACAAAAAAAAGTAAAGAATTAACCATGCTCCCCCAATCTGCGCTTCTCTTCCAATTATGCCGGACCTCTCCCTTCTTCCCAACAATTGCAGCGACGGCGACACCACGAGTTCATCGCCGTTCAACCCGGCGACAAGGACGACCACCGTCTCAGCCGACGAGGAGTTCGGAGCTTAGCTACAGCAGCCGCCGTTTCAACCGCCGCAAATCGTGGCGGCGTGGAGACTTTCTTCGCCGATGAAGGCGTTTCGTGGACTGCTCTCGGCTTGTCAGACACAATCTCTCAAGCTCTATCTAGTGCCGGATTCAACCGTCAGTCTCTTGTTCAGGCTGAGTCCATTCCGTCGATTCTTTCCGGGAAGGATTCGATCATTGCGGCGGAGACTGGCAGTGGGAAAACGCATTCCTATCTAGTTCCTCTGATTCACAAGCTATCCGCTTCTAGCGGCGGCGCTGTTAGTGGTTCTGCTTCTGATAAGGGTTTCAAACCTTCCTGTGAAGTTTCTCTTGTTCTTTGCCCCAACGTCTTGCTATGCGAACAAGTGGTTCGGATGGCGAATGGGCTTCGTGATGACAATGGCGACCCACTGATCAAAGTTGCAGCAGTTTGTGGGAGGCAGGTAGTATTACAGACTAAAAAGTTACTTCCTTTGAAGTCAGTTGAGCTCAGTTTTAGTTCCTGAAGCTGCTACCTTTAATTTTTGCTTTTTATGAAGGGATGGCCAGTTTATCAACCAGACATTCTTGTATCTACCCCAGCTGCCCCAACGTCTTGTTGTAGTGGCTTGTTTGTCTCTGGCTGCTAAAGTGGAGGAAACTCAAGTGCCTCTTCTGCTGGACTTGCAAGTTAGCTTTGATCAATCCAAACTTTCCTCTTTCTTGAACCAATGGTTGATGAATCAATTTTTTTTATTTTTACTTTTGCAGGTGAGGGTGTTCGAAGGGAATTGTGGGTCATTGACTCAGTATGGGATGAAGCTAATGAGAGCATTTGCCGTCTGTAAAATTTTCAAAAGCACGTCAAAAACTTGATAATACAAATCACAAACACGATAAAATAAATCACAAAAAGCATACTAAAAACCTCCTAAAGCAGACTACAAATCGCCTAAAACATACCAAAAACCTTACAAAGCAATCCACAAATATTTCTAAAGCACACCAAAACCTTCTAATGCAGACAATAAATACGATAAAACAAACAACAAAAAACATACCAGAAACCTCCCAATACATGCCACAAATTCCCTAAAACAAACCAGAAATCTCACAAAACACACCATAAATATTTTGAAAAGCACACCAGAAACCCCCTAATGCAAACCACAAACACGGTAAAGCAAACCAAAAACGTCATAATGCAGACCACAAATATATTAAAACAAACCAGAAACCTCGCAAAGCAAACCAGAAAAGTTTCGAAAGCACACCATAAACTTCTTAATGCAAACCAGAAACTTTCTAATGCATACTACAAATCTCCTAAAACAAACCACAAACCTCACAAAGCAAACCACAACATTTGCGAAAGCACACCAGAAACCTCATAATGCAAACCACAATTACAGTAAACCAAACCACAAAAAAACAAACCATAAACGTCCTAATACAGACCACAAATATATTAAAACAAACCAGAAACCTCATAATGCAAACCACAAAGTTTTGGAAAGCAAACCAGAAACTTCTCAATGCAAACCACAAACACGATAAAGCAAACCAGAAACTTCTCAATGCAAACCACAAACACGATAAAGCAAACCATAAACTTCTCAATGCAAACCACAAACACAATAAAACAAACCATAAAAGGCATAAAAAAATATGAGAAACCAAACCATAAATCTCACAATGCAGACCATAACATCCGGTCAACGAAGACCGTTGACCGGTTGACCGAACTCCGGTGACCGTCAGTGAGCAGATTCCGACGCCGATAGGCATATTCCGGCCCCGGTGACTAGATTCCGACGCCGGTAAGCATATTCCGACGCCGGTAAGCATATTCCGGCCACAAAATAGCATATGCCGGCGACAAAAAGCATATTCCGGTGACCGGCGACCATTTTCCGGCGACCGGTGGCAGAATTCCGACGACCAAATTTTTGGGAAGAAAATAAAAAAAATATTTTTTTATTTTTTTATTTTTTTATTTAAATAGATTTTTCATAATTACAATTATACCCCTGCTTTGATTTTACACTAGGTCAACTCATTTAATAAAAAGTCATCACAATCCTAGCTTCCTATTGGTTGGGGACTAGTGTTGTTACAATAACAACACAATGAGTGTTGTTACAATAACTGGTCCCTTGTCCATGCTTCTTTACTTACTTTACTTCCTTTCTTTCTCAACTATAGAAATACTTAATTAATTGTCTCACTTTTTTTTTTTTTTTTTTTTTTTTGCTGATTTCAGGTCTCCGCTGTTGCTCCCGCCCATCCTCCCAAGATGGCGACCTCCCCTGCCCCAACGTCATCCAATATTCTTGAAATCTGTACGCCCATTGAACACCGATCTCTCTCAGCTTTTTGAGACCACCAAAAATGGTCGCCGCGAGAAGCAAACCAAATGACTGCTAATTAAAACATTAATCATGGCAATTACCATCTATTACTGATCGTTGGCGACCATTTTCTTTTCATCACAAACACATGCACTCTTTTATCGACGTTCATTTGTTTGGGGTGGTGGGTTGTTTACCTGTATGATGAATGGTGCGTAATGCGTATACATATATGCTGTATATATGCAGATTGCAAGGCGAAGTGCAAAGACAAGTGCAAGTTGGTCCGGCCTTTTGGGATGAAGTTGTGCCAGGAGGTGTGCACAAAGTGTTGCTTGAGGAGCAAGTGCGTTCCAACCGGTCCGGTAGGGATCAAGTTTGGCAAGTGCAAGAACTGGACCTTTACTCTCTACCGTGGCATCCCTTACAAGTGCCCTTAAAACACACACACATTCCATATCACGTACAATATAATAATGCTGATTACTTATATGTATCCCTTATTATTATACGTACTATGATAGCTAGCCTGCCTCCTCATACAAACTTCAGTTTACCCCTTCGTCTGCTCAATAAAAGCATATCTATATATATGCAGTCCACTAAAGTATTCATGCACGCTAGGCTATTATGTTTCAGTACTTCTGGTTTATGTACAACTTGTCTCTAATATTGATGTCCATCTGAATAAAAAGGTCGACTTACATAGTTGTCAAGTCTTCGATCTCGTGATCAAATACGATTCTACTAGTCCAACGATATCACAGGAATATTATATTTTCAGGGTGTTCGGGTTTGAGTGTCACGAAGTACTATCTACTTTTATCTCCTCCTTAATGTGTTTAAATAGTAGTCATGTAATTTCTATTCATCCGTCTACTGTCAATATTTTTCAAGAATTATGTGAAGGAAGTAACAAAGGTTAAGAATACGCAGATAGCTGTTGATTGACATAACGTCTATTATTATTCAATTGATCTAATTTAAGCTAAATTGATCGATCAAAGAAAAAAATAAAACAATGACTAAAATCATGTCCAAGCATCGAATCAGAATTTTTTTTTTATTTGCAACGATATGATTTGATTCGATGCAAATCTATAAAATAAAAAACTTAAGCTAAAATTGACCCATTATTGAAATTCTTGTTGGATGCCCCGGAGGTTTAGGAGTGACCATCAGTACTCAACCTTTGTATTAGTCATTGTGATTGGAAGAAGAAGAAAATGGCGAAACATAGTCAGTAAAATATTGCACGTGTAATTAAATTATGTATAAGATACACACTGGTAATTTAATTTCTTTCCAAAATGATGGGTACATCTAATATTATGTCAAAAGATAATTATATTTAAAAAAATAAATGCATAAATTATCAATTAGATTATAAAAATGAAAAAATTTGACACTATTACATATACAAAAACTTTAAACACATAATCATACATACGTCCATATATATGCATATTAAATAGAGTATTTTTCTCAACAGCCCGAAATACAATTGCATTGAAGTCTAATTATTCCCGGCCCAATGGAGAGAAAGGGGTGGGCTGGCCAGGTGAATTGATGAAGAGGCCGGGCTGAGCCGGTGTTGTAATGCTGAGTTGGGCCATGGGCGGGTTCGTGACGGGGATGTGTCTAGGTTGTCTCCAGATTCATTCGCATACAAAAGTTTGACCAGTTTGAATTGAGCATGTGATCTCACATGTGTTGCAGGGGAAGGGTATCTCACTGACTGAGCAGTGAGCACTCTGTAGCAAGCTAAGCTAAGCTAAGCTACTGACTGATGATGCTCTGAACAGAGCAAATGGGTAGATGAATAATGATGACGATGATGATGCAGGCACAGCACAGTACAGCACAGGCACATAGCTATTTATTCATTACATTTGTCATCTTTTTTCACCTCACCTCCTGACATGTCTTTCATGAACACACAGCTGGAGTGAGTTGTTCTCAAATTGGATAACCTGTGAAATGCTCTGTTTCAACGACACACACAACAACGTTGCATTTTGGCTCTTCTGTCTCGCCGGAAAAATGGGAAGGTTTATCCCGTTTGAATGCTAGGATTGATTATTGATATATATATAGGGTTAATACCTTAGTTTGGCCCAAATTATACACATATTTTTTACTTTGGCCCGTGGTATTGAAAATTGCTACTATGGTTATATTAAATTTATGTCTAAACTTTAAGCCGAAGAATGCATTAGATTAGGGAGACCATGAGAGAAAAACATGACAAAATATCTTAATTTTCACATAAGTATGGCTATATATGACATAAATATTTTTGGATACGAACTCCTACCAATAATTGGGATACTGGTTGGGTCGGGTTCTACGGGTTGTGTACCCAAAATCCAAACCCAACCCAATAGAGATGGGTTGTACAAAAGAAAACGCTCACCCAACCCAAACCTTCATATTAGCGATAAATACGAGTGGGTTGGGTCGGATTGGACGGATAAATAAGTTTGCGGGTGTGTTTGTTCACCCTAAACTATGGAGAGACCATGTGGGTTGGAACCTCAAAAGTCAGAGTTGTGGACTACTGCTCGTGCTGGCCCATGACTCATGTTCCCCTGCACTCCATCCCAGTCTTGTCTAATGTATTAAAGCAGCTGCTTGCCTGACTGCTTCACCCCAAAAAAATATAAGAAAGCAGCTGGCAAGCTTCTTCTTTTGCACAACCTATCATAGCTTCCCCAGTAAAAAAGATGTTTTCAATTTGTCACCGTCACCGACCAACATTAAACTCCATTACATAATAATGAGCACCCCTGCTCACTTCCACCTACATCTATTTATAACCCCATTTACCTAACACATATCTCACTGAGACACAGCCAAATAGTAGTTCCCCTGCTTCGTCTTCTTCCCCAATGGCGTCCAGATCTATGTTGTTGTTTCTACTTACAGCTACTGTCCTAGCTGTTTCTTCCTACGCAGACCAAGATCATCAGTTCATCTCCCAGGTAACGTTAAAACCAACTCATCATTTAACTTAACTCGTCTGATCCATTTCTTTTACATGGATTCACTTTTCTTTACTTGTGCGTTAATTGTCTCTTTCTTTCATCCACCCAGGAGGCTGTTAGTAGCACCAAGTATGCCAAATCTCCTCCACCACCGTCTACACCGCCGGTGAAGCCAGCGCCGACTCCCTCTCCTTCACCATCACCTCCGGCGAAACCCTCCCCACCGCCACTGGTGAAGCCACCAACTCCGACTCCTTCTCCAGCTGTCCCCAAGCCACCCAGCCATTCCCCTGCCCCTGCCCCTTCCCCTGTTCCAGTCCCCAAGCCCCCAACTGCTGCCCCTCCTTCTCCATCGCCCTTTGTCAAGTCAATCAAAGGTATTGATTCAGCAGAAAGCTCAACACTTTAGCCTCCATTCTCTTTATAAGCTACGTTGTAGCTCTAGTTAGTAGTAATGTTTGATATCATCATCATCATCTATCCCCTGTTCCTGCAGATTGCGCCCCACTGTGCGCCAATCGGTGCAAGCTGCACTCGAGGCCGAATCGGTGCAACAGGGCTTGCGTGAGTTGCTGCAGCAAGTGCAAATGCGTTCCCCCTGGTACTTATGGCAACCGTGAGCAGTGCGGGACTTGCTACACTGGCTTGACCACTAAATTTGACAAGCCCAAGTGCCCTTAAGAGAAAACTCTGTTTCCCCTGTTTCTTGCTACTTATTGTTGTGGGTTTAGAAGCTATGTAATGTTGATCATCGGAAAAAGTCTTTGACGTAGAGAGACCAGCGGGATCGGAAAATCAAATGGGGTTGCTTGATAGTGTAATGTTTTCTTGCTGCTGCTAGTATGTTGATCTTGTTCCCATGTCCATCTTCATCAATATAAGAGCGTTACTGTTAATCTTGATCTGTGTTGGTTTTAACTTGTACATCCATTTTTCTCGGAGCAATTCAGCCCTGCACAGAAGGTTCAGTATAATATATGATGGAGCATTGCAACTTGGATAAGAATGACCTTGTTATTTGTCTCGGTGAATGTGTTGTTCCTGTCTCAAGGAAGGACTATAGTACCAAGGTTCCCTTATGCTTGGAACTTCCCAAAATGTTTCTTCTTTTAAGGTAGAAAGAGGTTGTAAAACATGATATACGTTGTTTCTTAAAATATATTAAAGGGCTTTTAGATTTAAGCCACTGCCACGTACTCCTCCCTGTAATTTGAGGCTATCCACGTCAGACTATAAAGAAACTGTTTCGCGCAGAGAAACCGTCGTTTCTTCCGCCGCTTTGTGTCCTCCATCCGCCAGAATTCGTCACCGTAAAAGCCTCCTGCCACCCGCCTGCCCCATACCTATGGAGAGTGAATTCTGCCTCCTGCCACCGCATGCTCCTGTCCCACCACCAGTTCTCATATCCCCGCCTTGCGCTCTTCCGACACACCCTATAGTCGTTTAATTTGCCCGCTCCATCGATTCTACAATCTCCCTCCAAGTCCCTCTTCCTCCTGCAAGGCAAGGCGCCACGGTAGCCCGTCAAACTGCCCTCATGATCTTCGTCAAGAAGGAGGTGTCTTCTTATGTTTCTTTCGACTTCAATTTTCAATTGAGATGGGTTTCCTGTTCTTTTGCTTGGGTGTTTCTAGGCCTTGAATCTTAGATTTTGGGTCTGATTTGATGAGAGGAAGGCGGGATGTTTGAGTACATTGTTTGGCTTTTGATAGTTCCAATCTGGTACTGCTTGATTTCGATGTTGTCAAATTTGTGGGATGGACTTTCTTCTTGCCGTTAAGTTTTGTAATCACTTGAAAATTGAGGGTTCCTTTTTGGTTTTTTTTGTTGCTTCTCTTACTTGCATGGCTTCGCTGCTCCTATTACATATTTATTGCTGCTTTAATTCCTTGCTCACTTTCCCAGATATGACAAGACAATATTGACTGATCCCCATTGCATTTTGAGACAAATGGACAGACTTACACACAACAAGTTGATCCACAAATGCATAGGACGCGCACAAAATCAGTACCACTTTGAGTTTCTAGGGGATACTGTTCGATGAGATTGTTGTTCTGCTATGAGTTATATATAACTTGCATAGAGTGGCTACCCTCTTTCCACTAGCAATAAACTCAAGTACTCGAGGAGGAGAAAGCTAGGGATAATCCACAACTGCACTACTTGAGTTGAGAAGGGAAAGCAAGGGATTTCACAGGTAAACCTTTATTTCCATCTTTGTAGACTGCTCGATGAGATGTTTTGTTGTTTCTGCTATGAATTATAACTTTCATAGACTGGCTATACACTCTTCCCAGTAGCAATATATAAACACAAGTACTCTGAGGAGAAAGCCAGGGATATCCACAAGACCACAACTGCAAGAGAAAGCAAGGGAACATTTGCATGTATATCTTTATTTCCAGTTTGTACATGAAATTTTGGAACTTAAGTGACTTGAATCTATTTTGCAGAGCATCAACGATCATGAAGACAACATCAAGATTATGTCCACGAGCCCCAAACCTCCAAAGTCCAAAAAACACCGACACTGCCACAACATAGAAAAAGAAAACTAACCTAAAAAACTAACCAGAACTCTACCACTAGAGCCTTGAAAATGGTCAAGACTTGATGCATTGAGTTACAAGAAGCCCAAGCGTACTTTGATTCTAATATAATAGGGTGACAGTACCATAATCACTTGCCATAGTGTGCTATGATGCCACCGG